CCTGATGCTTTGCCAAGCTTGTTCTAAGTAGGTGCTTTAGACCACTGAGCCATCTCTCCAGCCCCTGTGCTATTTCATTTTGAATCAGCTTTAGGAGATGATCCATCTAGCAGGTGACAACCCTGTTAGTATATTTAAAACAATCAGCAGCTTTTCACGGGTGTTTTGTTGTGCATCTATAAAAAATTGTGTGGATGGTAGCAGTAGTGCTGAAATTCTCTGAGAAGTGGATTTGTTTTTTTCTCTAAACTTCCATTTTTGTGCTTCTTTGTAAATTGTATAGTTTCTATGTTAAACCTTTAAAAAGTAACTCCTTACCATCTGAAGTAAATTTTCTTTATGTAAGACTGTTAAGTAAATGCTGCTCTCGGGCCAGTTGAGCACATGTTTTTAAAATTCTGGTTTTAAGTGGGAGAGCACCATGTGATGCATGAATGTAATTCCCTGGGCCCATCTCTGCCCTGGTGGATGATTGTTTCTACCTCTGCTCTTTCATTTCTAGCCTAAACCCACCAAGGGGCGAATGCGCATCCATTGTCTGGAGAATGTGGACAAAGCTCTTCAGTTTCTGAAGGAACAGAGAGTCCATCTCGAGAACATGGGTTCCCATGACATTGTGGATGGGAACCATCGGCTGACCCTCGGGCTCATCTGGACCATCATCCTGCGCTTCCAGGTAAGGACCCAGACCAGGGACTGCTAATGATGATGCACCTGATAGCCTTGGCACCCTTGTCTGATAGGGCTCAGCGTGTGGGGGTTTGCAGGTTGCATGTCAGCCCACTGCTTTCCTGATACCACCTCTGAATGTTTGGTCTCTTCCACTTGGCATTCAGGAACAAAGGTACAAAGATAGGGCTCATGGTAAACTATTAGCACTAGACTAAAATTCACCAGATTGTGGTACATTTTGTAAAATATTTCTAGAAGAATCTGTTTGGGGCAATGCATGTATGTGGCCTCTATTTTTACCTTCTTATTCTCTCTTAGATGTGAGGAAGAACAAAATCCTGTGTGTTTTGAAGCTATGATGATTTTATGGGTTATATTATTATTTCTGGGGGAAGGTTCTAGGTACAGAAAGATATTCCCCCCCCCCCCGAACCGGGGCTTGAACTCAGGCCCTTGTGCTTGCCAGGGAAGTGCTTATTCCACTGAGCCATCTCCCCAGGCCCCAGAAAGATACTTTTTAGGTCATTTTGTCCAAATCCTTCAGTTTATGAGGAAACTGAGGACTGAGAAGTTTGGAGCCTTTTCTGGGGTTACATAGCCAGCCAAGACTGCATTGTTGTTGACCCTTTCGGAGAAGGAGCTCAGGATCTGAGAGTGAAGTACCTCTGTCCTGAGTCCTGGCTCACTCTCCAGGCACAGGCTTAATGTTCATGCTTCCCCATTATTGGAAATGCAGGGACAGCTTCTTACCCTGGTATCAGGTTACTTGGCAAGCAAATATCCTAAAAGTCCTGTCTCCTGGGTGACCATGTTCTCTGCGCCTTTCCTTCCTGATTTCCCCTTTTGATAAAGATCTTGCGTTGCTTAGGTAAATAAAAAACCTCACAAAAGGCTTTCTTTTCTCCTTGACACCCTGAAATTAGCTTGTGACCAATCCTTTTTCTCTTCTAGAATTGGTCTTTGGCTTACAGTGTTCTGGGTGTAGATATGTGTAAGGAAGGAGCAGAAAGCTAAATGGAGTTACAGAAAGAAACAACTGCCTGATTGGCTGCTTCCAAAACCTGGCTGATCATCTGACTCCATTGAGCAAGCCTTTTAATAATTCAGCTTCCCAGGGCTTACCTAGTGATTCTAATAAAGTATGAGAAGAGAACCACTTTTGATAATGACATCTTTAGTGGAGTTAATTGTCACAATCAAAATCTTTTTCTTTACTACCTCCACCACACCCAGACCAGAACTCTTAGCTAGATTTCTGTCATCTACTTCATGAATAATTTGAAAATGGAATGAATGTCGTTAAACTCATGAGCATTACTTATGTCAACAAAGGTGGAACTAGTCAGACATTCTTTGAGCTTTACCCTAGTTTAGTAGAATAAAGCGTTTTATTTCTATTGCCTTTGACCTCTGGTAATTATCGCATGGAAGGACATCCTGATTGTGGCTGTAGCTTCTCTCTTTTTTTTTTTTTTTCTTTTCAAAGTTTTATTGATAAACATATGCTGTAGCTTCTCTTGACAGCAGGCCAGTGTGCAAGTGAAGGAACTGGCACACACAGCCCTTTTCAGGATTCTCAGCATGAACTAGGTTGGGTCATGGACTAATTAGCTTCCTGACAGCTTCACTCCTGCACGTCACTCTAAGTGGTGGCACAGGCGTTTTTCCCTTTACGGCAAGAGGCGAAGACTGCTGTATTAGTGTGTGGCCTGCAGTGTTGGTATCTTGACATTACTTTGCTTCTTTGAGGCACAGACACACTGCATATTTGTTCACTCTGTATCAGCCACAGCTCAGCTCATATTGTCTTCTCAGTGAAATTTCGGGGTGCCCATCCACAGAGACCTCTTCACCTAGCTTGAATACACAGACTCCTCTTCATTCAGTTCCGGGTGCTTGTTTCTGTGTTCCCTGTCCTCTGTGTGCATAAAAGAACTCCATTAAGTAATGATAGTGATACAGGTTTTGTTCTGCTGTCCCTTTAAAGAGAGTGAAAGATGGTGAGAGAAACAGGAAGTATTTTTTTAAAAATAATTTTATTGAGAGAAAAATAGCAATGAGACAGTTTCAAAACCAATTAGTAGGACAGTTTCAATAATGAATACATTGCATATTGTTGTCTTAGTGGTTATTCATTGTACAAGATGCAGACATGATATCCTGTCCCCGAAACACTATTAGAACAAATCTCTCTACTCATTGAATTAAAAGAAAGTAGTTGTATATCTATCCTAATTACTTTGAGTATACAGATACAAAATGGTCCTTCATTTGTATCCCTTTTTTTGTTTAGTTTCGTCAGAGAAGAGTATTCCATTGTCATTTAAATATTATAGGTGCATGAATTCAGCAAATATTCCAATGTAGACCAGTAGTCCATAATAGTAGTGGGTTATCCACATGACTGGCAATGTCAGAAGTTGTTGACTTGAGTCTTTTACAGCTCAGCATATTAATACAGCTTTACTTTTTATACTTCATTTTTATACTTTTCTGCTGGATGGTTAACACCAAGATAAAGCAAGACCTATATAACAAGAAATGTAATTTTTGTATCTGATAAGGTCAGTCAAATCCCCTCAGGATTTATCCCGAGACCCTGTACCGCAGTTTATAGATCCTTTGTCAGTGTCAGCCATGTGGATGAGTAACAGCCATTGCTTGACCCATGTGCTCTCTGTGAAAGCCTGAGAGAATGTTTTCTCTCCATGTGACTCTCCTTAGGCACATTCTACGTCATCGATCACTTTCCTCTGTGGCCCATAAATCCTTGATCAGAAAATTTGGGACACAACTGAGTTACAGGATGCTACAGCACAGGTTCTCTTATGTCCTGAGTCTTCACTGACCTTGAAACGCTAGGGCCAAAATGTTGGCTGTCCTTGCAGACCTTCTTTTTCTCTAATTATTGGTCTGCAAGCTTAGGTTGTTAACCCTCCAGAAGAGAAGCTTATTATCATTGCCCTACAACATAGGCAGTTGAGCTTAACTTCACTATCTGTCTGAATATCAAACATCTTAGACATAACATGGAACAGGCATTTTCCATCAAATATTGATATGTTAAACTTTGAGTCCCTACAGAAAAGAAGAAAAAAATTTAAAAAATAAAAAGTATTTTTAAAAAATAGGAATAAACAATTACATATTTTTACACAGAAATTTAGAAATTAACCATATACAGCATTGTAGCAGGACAGTGCAGAAACAGGAAGTCTTAAGCTTGCCTAGTCAGCAAGTAGTGGTCTCACTTCATAATGGTAGCTGGAACTCATTTATGTAAGAGCATATCTGGGAGCACATGTCCTTTATGAAGAAGCATAAGAAATCTGATAGTACAGTTCAGTTTGCCTTTTCCTGTAATTTTGTTTCATTCAGTGAGCGAGTAATTCTTTCATATTTACTCTCTGCATATGAACTGATGATATAATAAGTGTTTGGAATTTGTTCAAACTTCATATTCTTACCACAATTAAAACTGGAGATTTTTTTTAAATGCGGTTGTCTTAATTGCTCTGTATATGTTTCCTAATTAAGTATATAAGTTTATTGTTATATGTAGATCTTTTATCCTTTCTCTTTTTAAAAATATTCTGGGAGCTATTTGTAGATTGAAAGGAACGGGGCTGGAGAGATGGCTCAGTGGTCTAAAGCACCTACTTGAAACAAGCTTGGCAAAGCACAGGGACCGCGGTTCGATCCCCCAGGACCACATGCCAGCCAGCCCCGCCCCCTGGTGGGCTGAGCTGGCCACACACACACACAATAAATAAATGTAATAAATAAAAATAAATAAATATTTAAAAAAAAAAAAAAGAAAGGAAGGAGGCTTGACATTAAACAGGGCAGAGAAGTTTGGAATGGTTAAAATCAGAAGGAGAAATATGGCTTTCTAGGCCAGAGATGACAAACCTTTTAGTGCATGGTTCAACCCAGACTGCAACCCAAAACTCACTTATCACTGAGTGCCAGCATTACACTTACACCTGAATACTGAGGTTTTAGCTTAGGGGGAAAAAAATCTCATATGTTAATATCTTCTATCTTAAAAGAAAAACACAATAATGGATCTTTCAGTGATACAGACAGCTTTTTATTAAAAGACAAAAATTGTTATTCGGTGTGCTTTTGCACAGTTGATGTGATCTTTGCAGTTTGTATGCATGCTGATAATTTGTCAAACCTTGTTGAGAGCAACTTGGCTCACATGTCAATAGAGAGGGGTCTGGGTGCCACTCTCCTAGGCTGACGCCATCCCTTTTCAACTCCCACCCCAAATTTATGAAACTGACAAAAGGGTATTTGGAGCATTTATCTAAAATCACACAACTGCTGATAAGCGGTTCTTAGTCCAGAAACAGATGTTCATGGGTCCTCTGGTAAGCTTAGCACTTCATATTCCTCATCTCATTAAAAAACACAGCCACCTTCTGAGATAGCCAAGCTTATTCCAGTCCTAGGTGAGGAAGCTGCATAACCCAAATGATAGACCCCAGGCTAGCTGTGCTGCCAGGGGAGCAGGCCGTATGCACAGTGTTGGACATGCTGCCTGAGAGGGGCTTACCAGTGAAGACCATGGAAGCGTAGCATGGAATATGTTCTTTCTTTGAGAGTTTGAGCTAACTTGCAGGAAATAGTGCACGTAATGGCCTTGTCAATGAAGCCTTTCTCCTGTTGTGAAATTTTTTTGGGCCAAATATCTTTCTTAGAAAAATCCAGTACATGTGTGAGAACCACCATACCAGGTCGTAGTTGCAAAGATCTCTTAATGCAGAAATAACCTCTAACAGGTGCTGGAAAGTCATGACGGCAACCTATTTTCTGGCAGCCTTAACCTTGTGCAAAGTGGGAAACCTGGTTCTCTCTGGTATTTCTCAGGTGAGCCCTGACTTCAGGAAGCAGTTGTCATTGACACACAGAACAAATAGTCTGCAGGGGGAGGCTTTGATCTAAGGGTTGCTCTTACCTAAATGAAGACCTGTTCTTCAGTGGCTGTTAGGCAGCTGACCCATCTGTTTGACTAATATTTCTCTGTAAATCCTAGATTCAAGATATAAGTGTAGAAACTGAAGATAACAAAGAAAAGAAGTCTGCCAAGGATGCTTTGCTGTTGTGGTGCCAGATGAAGACAGCTGGGTGAGTGTGAATGCAAAGAATATCAGGGCTGTGTCTTCTAGGACTGCCTTCTATTCTAGTCACTCAGAAAGTGCTGACTAGTGTTTTTTCCGTAGTTTCCATTGAGAAATCTTATTAGCACATTGCTATAATAGCAGTTGCTGTGTTGGTGTTTCCACTATCTCCCAGAATGGGAAGCGTTCTGATTTATATTGAAGACCTGTCATACATATTTCTTCAATCAGTTGCCTTCTCTTTATTAAGAAAGTTCCAGAGACCTTTTGCTTTGTTTTGTTTTTGTTTTTTTGAGACAGGATTTTGCTATGTAGTTCAGGCTACCCTTGAACTCACAATATAATCTAATCTGGCCTTGAACTCCTGACAGTCTTGCTGCCTCATCCTTTCCATTGTTAAGAGAGAAATAAGATTATAGCCATGTGCCAAAACTTGTGGTTTGAGACTCTTATATTTTAAAATTTAAAATACTGAAAGCATCATACCTCCCATATTTCAAAAATGCAGTTGAGAGTTTTCCTTTTAATTTTGGCTATTTGGGAGAGCTTTGCACAGTAAATTTCAGAGTAATCTTAATGTATTTTCTGTCCCAGGTTTTCTTCTATTTATTCTTTCTTTTTTTGAGACTGGTCTCATTATGTAGTTCAGGCTGGCCTTGAAGTCGCTATGTACTTCGGTCTTGTCTTAAATTCAGGGCAGTCCTGCCTCAACCTCCTGAGTACTGGAATCACAGGTGTGTACCACCACACCCAGCACATTTAGTCTTTTCACTGAAATTTTAGTGAAGATACATATTGAGAACTGCATCTTTTTTCTTGGTTACTGAAGTTGCCCAGATTCAACTAAAACGAAACCTATAAAGTTCTCATCGTATTGGTAAGGGTCATATGATCTGTTTGAGAATTGATTTCATATCAGGTTAATTAGAGAGTTATTGTCATAACTGCTTCATATGTAGATGTAATTATATGACTGGCATATGCAGATGGAAGAGCTGATGTCCAATAAATGGGTCGTTAGGTATGAGCCTTTAATCAACCACAGATACAAAGTTATTAATCAGTGTGGTATAGAAAAGTTGTTTTGTTGGGGCTAAGTTTCAAACATAGGGAGTTTTTTAGATAGGTACAATTTTCATGAATTCTTCCCACAACTCTGGTCACAAACTGAATTGGTCATGAACTAAATCAAGTTCAATGATTAGGTTCAATATTGACCTTAAGGGGAAATTTGATTCAGTTTGCAAACTTAGTCATGGAAAGAATTGAATTTGTGGACCAAGGTAACAGTGTACTTAGAAAGCTTCATCCAGCAAGACAATACAAGGAACAGTGAAAGTTGAGCATCATATAAACAGGCAGCCCAGACTCCTTATGCCCAGATGATGCATGAATTCAGATCCCAGTGACTACAGATCCTGGTAGGTGGAGTAGAAAGCCAGAAGGAAGCAAGAGGCCTTGGCTCTATCTAGCTTCATCTTCGTGAGAGTCAATTCCCAAGCAGAGCCACAGAGTTTGTATTTTACAGCAAGCTGAATTGAAGGGATATTTCTCTCAACTTAATTATCCTTTATGTCACTGTCTTGAATTTTACAGTACTTACAAGCATTGTTTTTAAAAATACCGCATTTAGTAAAAGTATAAGCATTTATGTGTTAATTGTTACTTTTCTTTTGTGTTTTTTTTTTTTTTTCCATTGGCAGCTATCCCAATGTCAACATTCACAATTTCACCACTAGCTGGAGGGATGGCATGGCCTTCAATGCACTGATACACAAACACCGGTAACAAATAAAATAAAATTATGCTAATAATTGTGGGGTAGAATGTTTGTGGGATTGAATTTTTCTGTCTTTCTGCAGCAGAGTGGGGGTGTGGAGAATAGGTAGATCTAAGAGATTTACCATGGTTTTTTTGTTCTGTTGCTCTACATAGGCCTGACCTGATAGATTTTGATAAGCTCAAGAAATCCAATGCACACTACAATTTGCAGAATGCATTTAACCTGGCAGAGCAGCACCTCGGCCTCACTAAACTGCTGGACCCTGAGGGTAAGGGCTGCAGGGATTTCAACATCTCTATCAAAGAGTTAATGTGAAACTTGCTTAGGGTCTATATGTTTATTTGTACAGTGTGCTTTGGGAATTATCAAAGGGCGAGGACCATAATCTTAGTTATAGAAATTAAATGAGGCTTTGTGGGATACGGTAATATTAGAAAAGGATTTGAAAGATAAGTTTCCAACCTCAAGGACAGGAGAGATCATGTTAGAAGGATATATATGAAACAAATGCAGAATAAGAAAAGGTGAAGGACAATTTGAGGACCAGAGACTCAGTGGGAATTGTGTTTTGGATATAGGGCTTGCATGCTGACTTAGAGATTGTTCAGCAGGCACTGGGGAGTCATTGAAGGTTCTTACTAATGATGTTCATAGCAGACGACCTAGCATAGGTGCTCACCAAATGCTTGTTGATTGGCGTTCAGCTATCAGTGCTGTGGAACACGGGGACTTGAGACAGGACACTTGTTAGGAGGTGGTACCTTGTCTGCTGTGTGCAGAGAAGCACTTAAATGAGGAAAATATAATCAGGAAAGGGAAGATGTAAGTAGAGGAAGCAGTAGCACTCACAGTTTTATCTTCAAACTGTGTCCCATTCTCTGCATGGAAGTGATCTCTGTGTTCTTTGTGGGTCCTTGCAACTGCCTCAAGGCTGTGTGGGGCAGTCTCCAAAATCCTAATCCCAGGTTTATGCGGGCTGTCAAAGGAACTTTCTCTAGTTTTGCGAAGCATTTAAAATATAAGAGAATTTGTTCATAGTGCTAAAGGTTTATGTTCTCTCAACTGTGCACAAATATTAGAGAGAAAAAGCGTATGGACCAAAGTGAAAGTTCAGAGTTCTTATAAATATACAACAGGAAGTTTAACTCCCCAAGGGCAGATCGAGGTCATAAGGCTGCCAGACTGGTGTGCAGCTATTTCCCAGTGCATCAGATTCACTGATATATTCGTTACAGGAAGCTGAGATAACATTATCTTTGTGCTAAACCAGTGAAATGATTTCTTAACATAAACAGAAAACTAAAATTCTTTTGAGTTATGATACATTTTTGTGCTTAACCCCTCCTTTACTATGGAAATATTTACCCTAGCACTAGTTCTTTGTGCTTTTACAAAGAACCTGTTTTTTTCTGTCACACTGACAATTTTGTAATAACTTGCTTATTTGTTAAATCTTTTTAATCACTATTCAGTATAAAAAGGGGTTGATGTTTCTCAGATAACAAGATAGGAACTAAAATAGTAGTTGATGTCATGGATCTTGTGAGTTTGATCTTGAGCATGAAGTTATTACAGCCCAGACTAAGATTGGGCTCAACTTTTATTAGTTGTACAGTGCTTAAAAAAACATAATTTAAAATATATAAACAGGTTCATTTTTTTTTTAAGTTTTTCTTATTCATTCCACTTGTTGGCATTTTGTATTTATTAAATTGCATTCAAGTCCAGCATTTTCCTCCCATTTTCTCTCCTCTGGGCATACTTGAGTGAGACTAACCAGATGCAGGAACCCTGAGGTCGAAACCATAGCTGTAGTCTTAATTTTTTTTTTTTTTCCCCCCGGAACTGGGAATTGAACTCAGGCTCCTGCACTTGCCAGGCAAGTGCTTACTCCACTGAGCCGTCTCCCCAGCCCCTGTAGTCTAATTCTTGATGCCAGTGACTGCTTGGTGACCCTGAGCTGAGAATCCAACAGCTGAGCCATAGCGTTCTCAGTCTCATTTCACACAGAGCTGTGTAGAGTGTGGAAATGAAGGTATAGATAGGAGTGAAAAAAACAGGTGATGTTATCTTTAGGAGCTACCCTATATATTCTGTTCTTAATCTATCCTAGATTAAATGCTTGCCATGCCTGAAGACTTGCCATTTCACTTATTTGATTCCTCTCTTAATAACTGGTTACTAACCAATGCTTTGTATAGGACAGCAGACTAGGATTTTGGGAAGTGCATAGCTAAGACATGTTTCTTTCCCTTACAGACTGAGTCTTGTAAGCCAATAAATTGTGCCTAAATGAAAACACCTGCTAGAATTGGACTTTATGGCAAACTGCAAAAGGAGCAGAGAGGAAGACATAATTATAGCTTTGGGAATCAGAAATAGCTGTGTTGTAACTTTCAAGCTGGCCCTGCAAGGGTAGTAGGAGATGATGGGCTGGGGAAAGCTGTTTCAGGCAAAGAAGTGGTGAAGAAAGGGGGGCGTGTGGCGAAGTAGGGGGAACGCTGAGGAGTAAAGTTCGGTTCAGATTCATAGTGGACTTACAAATACCTAGAACAATGCTTGGTACTTAGAAAACACGTGATAAATATTTGAGAAATGGGTGGATGTGAAGAAAAGGGAAGGCTATAGCCAGGCTGCAGAGGAAAAAGCCTTGGTGTGTTTAAGAATGTTGGAGGTGGGCCGGGGAGCTGGCTCAGTGGAATAAGCGCTTCCTTGGCAAGCGTAAGGGTCTGAGTTCAATCCCCGGTTCTGCAAAAAAAAAAAAAAAAAAAAAGAATGTTGGAGGTAAGAGAGAGTGTTTGTGGCTCTGCAGTGTGCAAAGTGAGTAGGGCAGTAGAGAAGCTGTCCAAAAAAGCTTCTGTTGTGGGTCTAGTTATGTGACAGAGTGGTTTGAAAGGTGAGTGAAGTTGGGATCGACCAACTGTATATGGTTGAAAGGGAGTCAAGGATGTCCAGAGATGGGGTGACTGCAGCAGGTCTTGGTCTCAAGAACCACAAACCCAGTTTGTTAGAGGGTGGGGATAAGGTAAAGAGATGTATATGGTCTGTCTGTAGAAGTCATTTCGTGTGTTCATATGGTAAACAAATTGGTGACATGGTTTCCTCCTCATCATCCTAATTCATGTAATGATGACAAAACTCTCAAGAAACGCGTTGGGCTGTTCAGTGCTGTCCAGCAGTTCTAGGTTGTTCCGGCTCCCTGGGTAGCAGTATTCTAAGCAGGACACTGAATAGGGTCTTCTCTGGGTTACAGATATCAGCGTGGACCATCCTGATGAGAAGTCTATCATCACATATGTAGTGACTTACTACCACTACTTCTCTAAAATGAAGGCCTTGGCTGTTGAAGGAAAGCGAATTGGAAAGGTGAACTCACATTAATTCAGGAAATTATGAGACGGATGAAAGTCCGTGTGCTGCTGAGCACCTCATTCTCCCAAGGACTCACGAGGTTTGCCAGTAACAAACCAGCATCCTGGGGTGTTCTGTCCACATGACAGGGAAGGAGCCAGAAGCCCCTTCTCAGAGGGTAGCAGGCGGGCGAGAAATGATAGCCAGAAGGTCTGAGAGGGGTGTTGAGAGGGATCCACTCAAGGAATCTCCTCACCTTTATAACAAAAAATCTTAGGCTTTTTTACTTTTCATTTGGCTGATATGCTTCTGCTGCATTTTTCAAAACACTTCAGGTAAGATGACATTGTCCTCCCAGTGCACTGGAATGGAAAATTCTTGGGACAGAGTCAAGCTAAACAGAGCCCTTTTTTGCTTCTCTAGAAATACAGTTGGGCTGTATGAGTCGTTGAGAATCTTTGCCTGGGGAGGTTGGGTGGTTTCAAAACCAATTATAATTCTGTTCCTCTGTCACTGCTCACATATAATAGTCACAGTGTGGATACCTGTTACCATATGGTTCCTTGAGTTAAAATACTTTAGCCAGAGTGGCCCGGAACCACTTCAAAAGTAGTCATTAAGCATGTGTGCCGTCATGACGGTTTACAATCATGTTTCCTTGCATGGTGATATAATCTCCATGGTGTTTTCATAACCCTTATTCACAGGTGCTTGACAATGCTATTGAAACAGAAAAAATGATTGAAAAATATGAATCACTTGCCTCTGACCTTCTGGAATGGATTGAACAAACCATCATTATTCTGAACAATCGCAAATTCGCTAATTCACTGGTTGGCGTTCAGCAGCAACTTCAGGCCTTCAACACTTACCGCACTGTGGAGAAACCACCCAAGTAAGATGCAAATTGTAGTACATTTGCCTGGGAGGAGAGATTTCTGATCTCATCAGAGACCTGTCATACTATTTTTCATGAGTTGCTAGCATTTATCATAAATCATGCCTTGTGGGCCTCTTTTAGTAGAAACGCACAGGATACGGAGAAACCTAAGAAATTATGTGGGTCCTCAGTCCTTCTCCAGAACCTTTGTGCCAAATGTCTTTCAAATGTCTAGTATGTCTTTCAAACTAGATTTTAGGAAAGAGGCATAGTGCATATGTTGTAACTGTAAGACCCTAGGCAGGTCGGAGACTGTTATCTGTAGTTAAGCTCAATAAATTAAGTAGTCACATTATATTGGATAAAGAAAGACAGTAAATTTCTTCATATAAGTTCAAATCAGGTTTTGCTGCCCCCCAAAATTTGAGTTTTTGTATTTTTTTCAAGATTTTTTTTTTTTGGTGGGGGGTGCTGTTAATTGCGTTCCAGACCTTGTGCTTGTCAGGTACACTCTATGGCACTGAGCTATATACCTGGTTGAAGTTCATAATCTTACATAAGGATTGTGGGCTATCGTTTATTATAGTTCTGAAGTTACTTTTCTAAAAATACGACTTTGCAATCTTTGAGATCTTTGAAACTCATCAAAAATTAGGTAAACACTTGAAATAACCACTGCTTAATTCATTCTCTGAATAAAATAGTCCATTGTCAGGGCTTGCGAGATAACTCAGTGTACTAAAGCATCTGCTTAGGCAAGCGCAAGGACTGGTTTGATCCCAGGCACCACATGCTGTGCCAGCCCTGCCCATAGGGCGGGCTGAGCTAGCCACACAGTCCGGGCTTGGTGACATATGCCTATAATTCCAGCAGTGGGGATGCTAAAAGCAGGAGCATCACTATGAGTTCAAGCTGCATAGTGAAACCCTATAGTAACCAAATACATTAGAAACAAATCATTGTCTAAGACTAACGGTTTAAACCTTGATTGAAATGATTAATAAAAGAGTAGTGTGTGCCCTTGATACCCCAGTAAGCCCCAGCAACAGCCAACCAACTACCAAAAAGAAAAATCACAGTTTTTTTTTTTTTTTTCTGAGGTTTATAAGTGGATAACCCTGTACTTTCTAACATGAATTTCACATAAATTCAGGCCAAAAATAAATGACTCTTAAGATTGTGTGAAATTTTTTTCCTCCACTAAAAAAAACGAATTTCACCTCTTGAAGGAACAAAATACAGTAAATATGTTTATGACTCTTTCTCTCTGTGCTTAGATTTACAGAGAAGGGGAACTTGGAAGTGCTGCTTTTCACTATTCAGAGCAAGATGAGGGCCAATAATCAGAAAGTCTACATGCCCCGTGAGGGAAAGCTCATCTCTGATATCAACAAGGTAAAATTGATCCATCCAGACCCATTTTGACCTTGCCCTCCTGCAGCCTCAGGTTCTGTCTCTGGACTTCATTGCCAAGAGGGCAGGACAATGAAAGTGTCTCTCCCTCCCTGCTGATAGGGATGGCAGAGGGACCAGTCTATTGGAACTCTGGGGACACTGTCAGATTCTATCAAGCCAGGCTATTTTCTTTGTGAGATATGTGTGTATTTAATTCACATTTCACCTGTCTAAGATAGTAAACTCAACTTGCCTCAGATTTTAGAAAAAAGAATATGAAAACGCTATTTCATGTGTTGGGGATCTCTGAGCTGCAGGCTTGGGATATTGGCTTCTCCAGTTAAAGGAGCTGTCAGTAGTTTCCATTATCATGCCTTTTATGTCTACAGTTAAGAGAATTTCACAGTGGGCATTATTTGTAATTTGCAACTTGAGACATCTGAAATTCTCTGGTAACTTGAACATACTTTGGAGTTTTTATTGTGAAGCATGACATTTTATAGAAATGAATTCAGTGTGGGCAATCAAAATGCTCAGATATGTGAGTATTTTAAAAGTAGCCCAGAATGGAGTGAACAGAGGATTCATAATATGATTTTTCAAAGAAAGGTCTTTTATCTTTTTTTATATGACCAGCTACTTAAGATAATTACATTGTTTCCTCTTAAGTAAGAGATTCATATTTTAGTTACATTGTTCTATAGCTGTGCAGTGCAGGCTGTCATCAAACTCACTTATATAGCCCACACTGGCCTGAACCTCACAGTAATCCTCCTACCTCAGCTTCCTGAGTTATGGGGATCATAGGGTGTGTGCACTGTTTTGTTTCACAAGTATGAGACAGGGTCTTTAAGTTTAGACAGGAGAACGTGTTCCCATGAAGTTACATTAGGAGAAATTTATTTAAGAGTCCATGAGGATGAATGTGGAGCTAGGATCTCCCTTTCAAGCTGTTAGGTCATGTTGAGAAATAGTAGATGTCAGCTATCGCTAGGGAGTGTTTCTTGAACACTGCAGGAAACCATTCCTTTTTCTTTTCTGCAGGCCTGGGAAAGACTGGAAAAGGCTGAACATGAGCGAGAACTGGCTCTGCGGAATGAGCTCATCAGACAGGAGAAACTGGAACAACTTGCCCGCAGATTTGACCGCAAGGCAGCTATGAGGGAGACTTGGCTGAGTGAGAACCAGCGTCTTGTGTCTCAGGTTCTGCTCTCAGCATTACTAAAGAAACTGTTCTGGAGTAGTCTAGCAATGTCAACTATAGCCAAGGGGCTCAGAGCTTATCCGTTGTGGTGAGGAAACTGTCCAGTTATCCTGTCCACTTCCCATGAAGAGGATGTTTATAATTTCTAGCACACTTTCTCTTCTGTTTATGTAACTTGTCATGCATTTGGAAGCAGCTCAACCAGAGTTTGTTAAGAGCCAGCGAGTGTGTGTGAACCATTCACATTTATGTTTTTTTTAAATTATTTTAAAAAATTATTTGTATTGGTACACTTTTGATATACATAATGATCACATTCATCATGGAGGAAAATCCCCCACACTGTCGTCCTGTCACTCAGTCTTTAACCAGCCAACTCATCAATGCAGAGAGAGACTGGTCATGAAATAAATAAAACTGGCTTTCTTTTCCTTGATGTGATATAAACTGTCGTCTTTTCCAGTCTCAAGTCAGGTGCTAGAGATGAGCTGGGCCTCTCTATAAAGTGAGAAGTTAACTGGTTTGTTTTTTGGGGGATGGCATCTGATCTCTAGTAGGAAGTTTCAAGGGCCCTATGGAAGGCAGAAGCCAGTGAGATGAAGATTCAGGAGGCATTGCTTCTGTTCTCTCTTTTTATTTCTGTTAGAGCATATGGCTTATTTTGTTTTCTTTTCATTCAATTTGTCTGTAGGACAACTTTGGATTTGACCTTCCTGCAGTTGAGGCCGCCACCAAAAAACACGAGGCCATTGAGACAGACATTGCTGCATATGAGGAGCGTGTGCAGGCCGTGGTTGCTGTGGCAAGGGAGCTTGAGGCAGAGAACTACCATGACATCAAGCGTATCACAGCAAGAAAAGACAATGTCATTCGGCTCTGGGAATACCTGTTGGAACTACTCAGGGCCCGAAGGCAGCGCCTTGAGATGAACCTAGGGCTGCAGAAGATATTCCAGGAAATGCTCTACATTATGGACTGGATGGATGAAATGAAGGTAATGCTTTACTAAAAGCAGACAGAAATCAGAGTCGATCCAAGTGGGCCTTTTTTTTTTTTTTTTTTTTTTTTTCATTTTCATTAGGGAAGGGTCTACGGGATGTCCAGGGTCTCACTACTAGATTGGACTCGTAGTAATCCACCTGTTTATAGCCTCCCAAGAGCTGGGATTACAGGTGCACGCCATCACGCCCAGTCTCATTCGCCGTCTCAGTGCACCTCGGGGGTGGGGCCAGCACTACAGGGCCGGGGATCGAACCCTAGCCCCTGTGCCTGCTGGCAGGCGCTTTAATCCACTGAGCTATTTGGCCAGCCCTGGGCCTTTCTTTTGTAGAACCCACCCACTAACTCTTATTCATGCCCCTTGTTTAATGCCCATACTGTAAAGCCAGAGTAGAATGGACCACTCTAACAGTGGAAAGACAAGTAAAAATTGTTGTAAAGATAACCATCTCAGTAGCCAGAGGTCTGTTATTGTAATTTAGATTTTAGATATTTGTATTCCAGTGTAAGTCTTTAATCAAACTGTCTTTGTATTTAATTCTTCAGATCCTTCTATATCTGAGTTATGCTTCTGTGTATGAGGTGGTATAGGGAGGTGGAAGGGTGGTGGACAGGTCACAGACTGGTACCCAGGCAGTTAGAGCTTACCTAGTGAGTGCTGAGTGTTGGACAGGACTGAGTGCTAATGGCTGCTGATGCTGGTTTGTGCTTCTTCCATTATTGACAACTTTGAGCATGGAGTTCCAAGCTTTCTACCACTCAGTTGAAAGAGCTGTTGTGTCATAGACCTATTCCTATTCATGTCCCGTGGTGCAAGCTCAGGGACTTCCATGTCAATCAAGCCAGGGACTTCCTCAGAAATAGGTGAATGAAATGGAAGTCCCATCTAGAAAAGACGTGGGACAGTTGATAGAGGAGAATATCAGTTCTCTCAACTTAGACCTAAGGGATTGTTTGGGTCTCCTAAGTGTGGCAGGTACCTGATCCCACTCTTGTTTGGTAAAGAAAGGACTTCTTAGCTGGGCCTTTCTCCCGCTGATTACATGTGCGTGGCCTAGAGGCACATGAATGTGCTTCTAAGGAAGGAAAGGCATTCATTCAAGAGGTCAGTAATTTGTAAGCAATTTCTTTAAACTTTGAAGTGAACAAACCTGTCACCTTCATCTTTACCTTCTGGAATAATGCTACTACAGTTTTTTTTTATATTTTAATTTGGGGGTGTAGTACTGAGGCCAAACCTAGGTTTTCATGGTAAGATACATCACTATGAGATAGGGTCTCACTAGTTGCCTAGGCTCAACTCAAACTTGTGATCCACCTGCCTCAGTCTCCTGGAGTGCTGGGATTATAGGTGTGTGTCATCGTGCCTGGCAGTATGTTTGGTTTTGTAGCCTCAGTTTACATTTTGGAATCTTTCATAAAGATGCACCATATATACACACATCTTTTTTTTTATTGTTCTCTGCTTTTTAGTATCAATTAAGCTTATTTACTCCAAGGTAGGTGATGTTTAGTTTATGCCTCTCCTGATGCTGTCTTTCATAATGTTTTGTGCTTCACTGCCGTCTTCCCTTAAAACTATGGGGTCAGTGGCAAGCCTAGAGGAAGGTAGAGCTTGGTCACTAGCTTTTTCTGCTTGTCCAAAGATGGCATCATGCTGAAATTAGGGCACACATCTTTTTTCTACCTCCTCTTCTGCGTAGGTGCTGTTATTATCTCAAGACTATGGCAAACACTTGCTTGGGGTGGAAGATCTGTTACAGAAGCATGCCCTAGTTGAAGCAGACATTGGGATCCAAGCAGAGCGAGTGAGAGGTGTCAATGCTTCTGCCCAGAAGTTTGCTACAGATGGGGAAGGTAAGCATGGACCATTCTAAACATTGCCTCCTCGACGACAGAGATCCTTCTCTGTAAGTTATAGTTGACACAGAGGCTTTTGATTCATACCATTGTAGGCTCCTGTTGATCTCTGTGTTGCAAGATACAATGAAGTGGCCTTCTAGATAGTTTAATTCTGTCTCATTTCTGAAATAGACACATGCTTTTCTCAAACACATGTTTGATTTTGAGTGGTTTGATGTTTTGATAACGAAGCTCAGCTTACCATACTGGGTAACAACATGTACTGGCAGCCCAAGGTGGCTACTCCAGCAGTTCATGGCTTCCATGTTTGGTTACATCCTTAGAGGATATTTAGGAGTTTTGGCTTTGCAGTGCTTTTAGAACCAATTAAATGCATTTATTTTCTTTCATACAAGTATGTGCTTTCTTCATTTATAAATGATCACTTTGTGTATGGTGGGACCAAAAGAATACTATGTACCATTGCCTCTCCCTCCTTTCCAGTTAAGACTTAGCAGGTGCTTTTGCCTCCATGTGACCCTGCCACTTAGGACATGAGGGGTAGCCCCCGCCTGCGAATGACTAGGGACCTGTGCTGCATTCTTACTGAAGCCACGTTCCTCTCCTTGATCACAGGCTATAAGCCCTGTGACCCCCAGGTGATCAGAGACCGCGTGGCTCACATGGAGTTCTGCTACCAAGAGCTTTGCCAGCTGGCGGCTGAGCGCCGGGCTCGTCTGGAAGAGTCCCGTCGCCTCTGGAAGTTCTTCTGGGAGATGGCAGAAGAAGAAGGCTGGATACGGGAAAAGGAGAAGATCCTCTCCTCTGACGATTACGGAAAGGACCTCACCAGCGTTGTGCGCTTGCTCAGCAAGCACCGTGCCTTTGAGGACGAGATGAGCGGCCGCAGTGGCCATTTTGAGCAGGCCATCAGAGAAGGTGAAGACATGATTGCAGAGGAGCACTTCGGGTCAGAAAAGATCCGTGAGCGGATCATTTACATTCGGGAGCAGTGGGCCAACCTGGAGCAGCTTTCAGCCGTTCGGAAAAAGCGCCTGGAAGAAGCCTCATTGCTGCACCAATTCCAGGCCGATGCTGATGACATTGATGCCTGGATGCTGGACATCCTCAAGATAGTCTCCAGCAGTGACGTGGGCCACGACGAGTATTCTACACAGTCTCTGGTCAAGAAACACAAGGATGTGGCAGAAGAAATCACCAATTATAGGCCCACCATTGACTCGCTGCATGAGCAAGCCAGTGCCCTCCCCCAAGAGCATGCAGAGTCTCCAGATGTGAGGGGCAGGCTGTCGGGCATCGAGGAGCGGTACAAAGAAGTGGCAGAGCTGACGCGGCTGAGGAAGCAGGCGCTGCAGGACACCCTAGCCCTATACAAGATGTTCAGTGAGGCTGACGCTTGTGAGCTCTGGATTGACGAGAAAGAGCAGTGGCTCAATAATATGCAGATCCCGGAGAAGCTCGAAGACCTGGAAGTCATCCAACACAGGTGAGCAGCCCGGGTGCCAGGGCCGCGGCCCCCACCTTGTGGTCATCAGTAGCCACAAAAATGACCATTGTGTTGAATTACTTTTTCAGATTTGAGAGCCTAGAGCCAGAAATGAACAACCAGGCTTCTCGGGTTGCTGTTGTGAATCAGATTGCACGTCAGCTAATGCATAGTGGTCACCCCAGTGAGAAGGAGATCAAAGCCCAGCAGGACAAACTGAACACCAGGTGAGCATGAGGCCAGCGTGAGCTATCTTTCTGTGGGGGATTGAGGGGATGAGGTCACTCACTGAGCCTTGATGTGATAAACTGGCACTGCACAGAGTCATGGTGTTGCAATGTTGATATCAGGACATTGGCATCTGCTTTTCCACATGTCCTCATCCTGATTTTGTGGGAAGTGGTTCTTAGGTGGGGTGACAGCATTCAGGATGAGAACAGGTTGAGTCAGCCTAGTATTTACCCCTCTCTATTTCTCAGGCTTGGTGTGGCCAGCATCTAGTGTAGTGGGAGGTACCAAGGTGACACCTGTGCTGTTCCCTTTAAAATGATTTCTAAAACTGGGTTCTTGCATATTTGAAATTGAATTTGCCAGTGAAAGTCCTAGCCTGCCTTGCCGGCCTGCCCCTGGAGCACTCTGAGACTGCGATTGAGACTGGGTATGGTGGCCCGTGCCTGTAATCCCAGCACTTGGGAGGCTGTAAACAGGAAAATCACTACGAGTCCAATCTATTAGTGAGACCTGAACACCCTGTAGACCCTTTCCTAAAACATAGGGGAAAATAAGTCCTGATTGTCAGGATAGACCTTTGTCCTGGTCCTTTCAGCTGAACAAACACTTCTGAGTAGTAGTTTGGGTAGAATGTTGACCTCAGTTCTAAAGGTAGGCATAGTCTTTGGTTTTGGGGAAGTGTTCTTAGGAGCAGATAGAAATCACCCAATCGCTGAGGACAGATGTAACAGCTCATGTTAGAACGTTTTATACATTCTCTGCCAGGCGTTTTCTGGATTATATTGCATCCCTGAGCCATATCCGTAGTGTTTGGTGTTCACTTATTGAGATGATTTTTCCAGAAAGCATATAGTCAAAGAGAAGATAAAAAAAAATATGTAGATTCAACCACCACTGTTCATTTGGGTATTCAGTGATGGGTTCAGCCCTTTGCATGCTTCTTTCTACTGCCCCTGCTCTCACAGGTGGAGTCAGTTCAGAGAACTAGTTGACAGGAAGAAAGATGCTCTTCTGTCTGCTCTGAGCATCCAGAACTACCACCTTGAGTGCAATGAAACCAAATCGTGGATTCGGGAAAAGACAAAGGTTATCGAGTCTACCCAGGACTTGGGCAACGACCTGGCTGGTGTCATGGCCCTGCAGCGCAAGCTGACTGGCATGGAGAGAGACTTGGTGGCCATTGAGGCAAAGCTGAGCGACCTGCAGAAGGAGGCAGAGAAGCTGGAGTCTGAGCACCCTGAGCAGGCCCAGGCCATTCTGTCTCGGCTGGCTGAGATCAGCGACGTGTGGGAGGAGATGAAAACCACCCTGAAGAACCGCGAGGCCTCCCTGGGAGAGGCCAGCAAGCTGCAGCAGTTCCTGCGAGACTTGGACGACTTCCAGTCCTGGCTCTCCAGGACCCAGACAGCCATTGCCTCGGAGGACATGCCCAATACCCTGACTGAAGCAGAGAAGCTTCTCACGCAGCACGAAAACATCAAAAATGAGATTGACAACTACGAGGAAGACTACCAGAAGATGAGGGACATGGGCGAGATGGTCACCCAGGGACAGACCGACGCCCAGTACATGTTTCTGCGGCAGCGGCTGCAGGCCTTGGACACGGGGTGGAATGAGCTTCACAGAATGTGGGAGAATAGGCAAAACCTCCTCTCTCAGTCACATGCGTACCAGCAGTTCCTTAGGGACACAAAACAAGCCGAAGCCTTTCTTAACAACCAGGTAACATTTGACATTGCCTTAGCTCCTCCTGAATAGTGGGCCCTGGTTTCCTTTGAAACATTTTGTCCAGGAAAGCATAAGCCATGCCCGTGTGACATTAGGTAGATGATACAGAAATAGGTGGTTTTTTTCCTGATGCTTAGACATTGAAGTCTGCCACAGTGTAGGGACAGGAGTTGAAGATCTCTGGGAAAGCTGTTGCCTTACAAAAGCATGGTTCCATTTCAACTACTTTGAAGGCATTAATATTCGTGGTATGGCCTCATGGTCTCTTATTGAATGGCATCGTTCTGTGAGGTAGTAATACAATTCAAAGGGTAGAGAGATCAAGGACTTCATCCAAGGTCGCAAGGCAGACATCAGAAATATCTGAGAATAGTTGTGAAAATGACGGGTGGTTATTTCACCTATTGCCTTCCTAAGTACGAGAGGACCCCAGGGGACAAATCTTTGGGTACTTTCTTTAGGGGGGGAAAGAATAGAGCATTTAACTGCTTAGGAAAATTTAGTTACCTATGGTGTACCACTGCAGTATTTTGCCTCTCAACATTTCATTTTATGATTCAATAGATTATTTCACGTAACTACAGTGAAGCAGTTGCTGGGAAGTATGTTGCATAGAAATTATAGAGCGTAGGAAAAAGTTCTGTCATTATACATCATCCTACTTTTATTTCCTCTTTTAAAATAAGGAGTATGTTTTGGCTCACACTGAAATGCCCACCACCCTGGAAGGAGCAGAAGCAGCTATTAAAAAACAAGAGGATTTCATGACCACTATGGATGCCAATGAGGAAAAGATCAATGCTGTTGTGGAGACAGGCCGGAGGCTGGTGAGCGATGGGAACACCAGCTCGGATCGCATCCAGGAGAAGGTGGACTCTATTGATGACAGGTACAGTTTTCTGAGGTTGTGAAAGAAGTCCTGTGACCTGTGACTCTGGCTGTTGAGAGAGTGGCCAGAAGTCCTTGGGACTATTGCTGTAAGTTTACCAGTTGGCACCACACAAAATTTTATCTGCCCACATAGAAAATTAGTAACCAGCACATGTCTGTCTCATCTGAAAATACACAAAAGAAGAGAAACTAAGAAGCCAAGCCAACCCCTAACATAAGAGCTGTAAGAATCAGAATGCTGAAGAGCCATCTGGTGTAAGCCATGCTCTTAAGTTAATCACAGTGTGTCACCCACTGAGTCCCCAAGAGCTAGACGTTTCTCAGCCCAGGCCCATTTCACCTTCATCCCTGCAATGTTGCTGAAGCCTGTCAGAGGAGACCGAGTGAGGTTTTTATGTGCTGAGTACCTGGGAGAGCCACAGACGCTGTCTGGCCTTTCTTTATAAGTTGCCTTGGAGAATGCTGTGATAGGACCCTTTACCTAATGAGAGAAAAGACCATTTTCCTTTTCTGCCAGGGCATCACCAGGATTAAATACCTTTTCTTTTCATTCCTATGTATTGTGTTTTGTGTTTTTCTGAAAGCTTTGCTCCCCACTTTGAAAGCTAATGCATGTGCTCTGGTTGACTCTAAATTATGACTTATCCTGACTCTTACCCTGCCTGGATTACTAAAGTGGGAGGTGGTCAAAGTTTGGGTGCACCAGCATCAGCCGGCTCTGGGCCTCAGTTGCCCCGTTGGATCAGTCACTCTCTTCAACCTGCTCATTTTGAGGCTGATGGCAGGGCTCTTCTGACATGCATGTGCAGTTCAGAAGGAAGACTTGCCTGCTGAAAGTGTTGCTTACCACGTACGAAAGGGTCTCCTGGGAGACCTATCTCACTTGATGTATGAGCTAAGGAGGGGAGTTACTCCTATTTCCGTAAAGGTTAAGCTCCCAACTTTCAGTTTCCTAAACTGTATGTTCTAAGGGTAGGTACCATGGAATAGATGCAACTTTGAGTAATTATAGTATCAGTTTCTTTTTAAATCAGCACCTCTCTCCTTCTCTGTCTCTTTCGCATACTCACACACACTTCCACCAAAAGTTTCTTAAATTAGTGTGAGAAACAAGGATTTACGAATTCTTTTTTTTTTTTTTTCTTTTTTTTTTTTTAATGTATTTAGTACAGGGTCTCATTACACAGATCAGACTCTTAAGTTTTTTGTTTAAGAGTCTATAACTCTTTAAACCTTGGTTAAGTTTTCCTGTTAGTTAAGAATGGAATGGAGTAATTATATCATCTCAACAAGTCCAAAAATTTTTATTCCTGGATTATTTTATTTTGGTTTTTATTTTTAATTTTGCTTTTTGAAATGGGACACTATCAGGAAACATTTTTTCAAACCAAATTATATGACTGTGTACATTTTCTTAGCCTTGTGCATATCAGCCAGTGACAGGTTTTTAATTTTTGCAGTGTCCAAATGGAGACTTGCAATACAGTATGTGCTCAGATTTTTTTCCCTTGTACTTCATTTGATAATGCAGATTATTTTCCTGTGTCATTGTAACCTAGGGAGGTGTTTGGATCACTCTTGTACCATGGTTTCCTCATGTAAAAGATGCTAAGAATCTTTTGTTTATCTTGCCTCCTTCACATAATTAGGAACAGTAAGCAAACTTTCTGACATATATAGAAACTCAGGGAAGAAATTGACTTGTATTCTGTATTTTTTTATTATTTCAACAGACATAGGAAGAATCGTGAGGCAGCCAGCGAACTTCTAATGAGATTAAAAGACAACAGGGATCTTCAGAAATTCCTGCAAGACTGCCAAGAGGTATGTTGTCCTTCAGCCCTTCCCTTCTTGCTTTTCAACAATAGCCACCAATGTTTGGCTGTAAAAGCCCCTTGAATTATAAAATTAATGAGGTCAGAAATTTATATTATCCTTTGGTTTACCAATGACAGATAAAGCACTTTTTTGGGAATAAAAAAGTATTTTAAAAAAATTAGAAAGTATACAGAATGTCACTAAACAAGATGATAGGAATTCAACAATTGTTGGTACACTGCATATTGTCTTCAAATTAGTTGTTCAGATTATCAGATATAAACATGTAAAAGTAGATATACATATATATATATAGATAGATATAGATATAGATATTTAAAAAGAAAAATCTGAGCATTAACTGCTCCTTTCAGTAGATTAGCAGAAATCAGCAGTATGGTTATCTAAGCTATCCTGTGTATATACATATATATTTCTTCCTTCCTTCCTTCCTTCCTTTTTTCTTTTCGCCTTTCCCTCATCCCAGTTGCTCTTTCCTTTGGAACAGATTCTTTCACTTTTATAGGATCTATTGTACCTTTCAGATTTTATTTACTCTTTCAGGTTCTTACACTAGGGAAGGACAAGGCACTTTGTCAGTTCTCCATCTTATGAACTGTCACTTAGGTGAACCTAGACTATGGTAATCTAGAAAATTTCAGTATAAGACTGAGCAGTCCATTATAGTAGTCATTAGCCGTAAGTAGCAGTTATGTAAATTAATTAAAATTAAGAACATTAGCATATGTTCTGTGGTCAGTTGCCAGATAGGGTTAGTAGCCATCATACTGTCCAGCCCTAACGTGGAGCCTCTGTCACTGCGGTGCTGGAGATTGTTGAGCAGTGGTGTTCAGAAGGGTTCTGTACCCTAAAAAGCCTGCAGTGCAACTCTAAAGCAAGAGTCATTTGAATAGTACAGCATGGGATAAAAGAACTGACAGGCACCAAAACTGGCTGCTAAGTAAGAAGCAGATATTTTAAAACCATAAACTGTAAACTAGATTTCCATTTACCTATGACCTTAAAGTATTTACTTTTTAGGCTTCCTAAATATGTGTTCAGTATGCCAAGAACAATATTCAAGCACTCATTTAAGCCCTAGTTTTAACATATGGTATTAATCTCATGATTCTCATAGTACTTTGTGCTCCCCTAAAACATACATAAACAAAGTTTGAAAACTGAAGTTGGCCAGGAAATTGTAGTATCGCTACAAGCTAGTTGGAGAAAAGTATTTAGCTGACTCTGTGTGAGTTCGTGAGCACATTGTGTTTCTGTCTGCCAAAGCACAATGGTAATACTCAAGTCTTTTCAGCTTTATTAGAATAAATACCCTTGGCTGTAAAAATGGGGTAAAGACCATCCACAAAAAGCTTCAGGCCCCTAGAGAGTGAGAAGCATGGGGGCAGGATCGGGGCTTGTGCTAAGAATACAATCACATCATTATATCGTGCATACAAGTCTGTGGTGATCTGCTAAGTATGTTTCTAATGATAGCTACTAGGTTTTCTATGACAGAAGCCATCTTTTGTGCTCATAATTACTATAAATCTTGCAGCGTGCTCTAGAAGCTAAAGGTTGAAAAGGAAAGTCCTTAAACTATGTAGCTTACTAAAGAGCCTGCTTAGGCAGAGCACAACAGCCAGGGTTTGATCCCCGACATGCCATGCTGACCCCATCCCCTAACCCTAATCCTAAAATAACAGGAGAAAAGAAAAAAACTGTAGCTTAGGGTCTGTCAGCTTTATGTAACAAAGTCACAAATCTAGGTCTCTAGGGATGTGCTTGCTACCAAGCAGACAGGCCAAAGACACAAATTCCTCTTCTGAGTGCCTTGCGAGCACAAATCACACATCTCGACAGGTTGTTCTCTGGCAGAAGCACCCACAGCCCAGGACAGGAGCTATAGGAAGGGAGTGGGACTTGACATGAGATATGAAGTGTGCTTGTTGTGCTACAGAAGGTGCTAGTAGCCTCTTCATGGTGAAGGATATTAAAGTAATTTAGGGTTTGCAGGCTGGACAGAGGGGCTTTACCCCCAGCCCCTGATGCTTTGGACAGGGTGTGGATAGGATCTTGTGTTCCTGCTTTTAAAGGGCAAGTTAGTAAAGTAAAATTGATTCACTATAAGACCTAGGCTAGTGAGACGAGAATGCCAAGGAATGGGCAAAGTGATCGAGCAGAAAATTGTTTATATTGGAAATTTCCAGTCCTGTTTTCCACTCATAGAAGTGTGCAGGAAATGTTAGGAGATAAAGTGATGTTCTTCCCAGTGGAATCACAGGAAGTGGTTAAACCATCTTAAAAGATCTTTTGATCTATGTGTCCACTGTCTGTAAATTAGCATCCTTGGTTACAAATTCACTCTGCACACTCTTTGGATGATTTCCAGCAACTGCAAGGCCTTCCCAGGGCCTCACTCCTGTGTAATTTTTCCTCAGAATTTTTAGGAAAGCTTGGATTAGGCTTCTTTTTATGTCCCAAGAGAAGTTTTGCAAGTCTGACTGCTCTGCTGAGTCTTCGGCTTTATCTTACTTCCCTTGTTCTGCCCTTTTCTCTGTGAGTCCCTTTAAAAGTTAGTACAGCTGTAATGTTTACTGACAATGTCAGGTGTCCCACACCAGCACATAGGAGTCAATATAGGACAAAGTGTAGGTCAGGGTTGGGGGCTCTGAAACCCTTGGTATAGAAATATAAGCAAAGAGGCAATATATGTCATACTTTAATAAACTTACCATCATTCATACTCATCAAAAGATACCCCTTTAAAGTCAGAATCTCTGAGAATGGACTTTATACACTAGTTCTACATGTTTAAAAAAATATACCTGTTGGCCTAATAGTACTAGACCTTGGGCCCCAAGGCAATTTAATAACTATTCCTGGTTGGTGTGGCTTGAGGTCCAGAGCATTGCCCTTTTTTGCATATGTCTTTTCTCCTGGGAGCCTTGGATGGTGAGATCTGCTCATGTCTCCGCCACCGCTGCCCCCACCCTGGATAGGAGGCAGCTGTTGCACTAGCAGTGCTGGGGTGGGGAGCAGGGTCCCATTGAATAGAAGGGGATACAGACAACATCTCAAGTTTTATAGTGCTAATTTTAATAGGCTGCCCTGAAAAGCAGATGAATGATATGAAGAAGTACTGTTTTGTTCTTATTATAGTGTCTCAGTGATGCATCTCATATTTCTGAAACTGGTTTTTTGTTTTTGGGTTTTTTTTTTTTTTTTTTTTCTAGGATAGCAGGCTATTGTGTTCTTACAGGGATGTGAATTCAGTGCTTTGCCCTTGTCTTCAAAGAGTGAAGCATTTTTTAAAATCTTTTCCTCATCTACACACTGTTCCTTTCTGTAGAGAATGAATATATTCTTACATGACCTTTATAAATGCCCGCAAATAATAACTGTAGTTCTAGTTCCAAACCTCTGATGAGCTGGCCAGTCCCACAGGTCCGTTGCGTTGTGCTGCACTGTGATGCTTTATCTGCAGGGTGATGTGTGTAACAGAGAACAGATTTGTTTATAAGCCTCTGGTTTTTATGTAGTGAGTGCTCTTTTTTTTTTTTTTAATCCTTTTTGGTTAGGTGGTTATGAATAGCAAAAAATATGTGAATGTCTTTGGCACTTGAATAAATAAATGCTTTCTATTGTGTGGAATATAGGCACAATTTTATCATTTCACTTCCTCTTAACCTTTTTTCTTAGATTAAATGAATGCCCATACTACTTCAGATTTCAGCTACTTAGATAACTGAAAAATAAGTAATTCTTTTAAAGTGAGGTTGTTGATTACATAGGGCTGAGTTTTTTTTCTCTGAAGAATGACATCAAAGTGCTGCTCCCTTTCATTTCCAGCCCTGCTTCCTACTGTTTTTCATGTGAATAGCTAGAGAAAGGTAGGGTTTGTGGCCAAGTTCACCTACTCTGCAAGCCAGGAGTGCTCCTAAGCCCTACCATGCCTCTGTAACGTCATTTCTAAAGGACAGAACTTGGGTTGTCACAGTGCATTTACAGGCAAGCCTTTCCCAACTGCAGACAGAGTGTAAGTGAGCAGTATCATTTCTGTAAGGACTTCTTTTGGTTTTTGTGCTACTTCTAGACCTTGGGAGATGAAGCAGTGAAGGTGTTGAGGTGCAAACTTGTGGCTAGCACAAAAGTGGACTTCTGTAGTCTCCAGGGAAAGGGACATGGTCCTGTAGACATCTCCTTTTGACTTAGCCAACTCTTCTTTTGTGTATTTCCTGCCTGGATGAACACAGCTCTCCCTGAGGTAATGCCATGAGTCTATAAGAGTCAGGACTCTGGTCTGTCCACTTACAGACAAACAGGAATAAGCAGGGGCTGAGTCAGCAGAAAAGACACAGAAGAGGTGGGTCAGAGCCTAGTATTTGAGTGACTGCTACCCAGAGCTTCTTAAGAGAGCCCCCTTTGAGTCTGTCAGCACCTGGAAGGCTGTGTGCCAACTTTTAAGAGTTGAGTCTGAGTAGTCATGTTAGGTCTCAGAATCAAGTCCTATGAGGTGCTCTTGATCTGAATGGAAGACACTTTAGAGAACTAGAGGCTATAGGAAAAAAAAAAAAAGTGAAGATTGAAAACCTAGAATGGGCACCTTTGTTAGCTTTGTTCTACAGTAAACCCGGTATTCATGCTTTCTGGCATTCCCATGCACATACCCACAGTGTGACGCTTTCTGTGGATAAACAAATAGATTTGTTTTTGTTTTGCATCATTTTTTACTTGAGCTAAAAAAGACTTAACTGCCAAGTGAAGTATAAAAGCCAACTCAGAAGTGATTGAGTTGGTATAGCTCAGACAGGTATTTGAAAGAGAATACATTTTGTGACTGGACTGTTTAAAACAGAATTTTAAACCTAGCCCTTTGGGGAAAAGTTGGTTGAGAATGTTATACAGTTTGAAAGCTGGTTCAGCACTTTAGTGTCCTGGGTCTAATGTGAGATGCATAGTACAAGGCTCCTTTATGATGGACATATATTATGATGGACCTAATTTGTAGATTTAAGTACTTGGTCATATCTTGACATGAAAACATACAGTATGCATACATAGCATGACATGAACACAGCCCTTTCCAGGCTGGAAAAAGGCAAATGTTTACAATTATAATCTCTGAAGCCTTCCTGATGTTTTTCCCTAGCTCTCTCTCTGGATCAATGAAAAGATGCTTACAGCCCAGGATATGTCTTATGATGAAGCCAGAAATCTGCACAGTAAATGGTTAAAACATCAAGCATTCATGGCAGAACTTGCATCCAACAAAGAATGGCTTGACAAAATTGAGAAGGTGAGTTACAATGTTTAAAGATGTCCCCCTTTCACTTCTTGGCTGTGGTGAGAACTTTTTAGTTAGAAGGCTTTCCAGCATGTTTGAGTCTTCCCTGATTATTTATGAAAGTTGTTGAGCCAGTATCAACACCTCTTCCACCTATCAGGTCCTGGCTACCAGAAGAGAGAAAATCCAGAAATCCAGCCAAGTGATATAAGACCCTCGCTGATCTCCCAGTGTGTGCTAGGCGTTGGTCTCTGTTGTACATTTCCTCTGCTGCTGAAGGCCTGAGCCCCATGCAATCTCCACTCCCTTGATCATAGTGCTCATTCCCATTTGACTAGCTTTATCAGAGTTATACTCACACAGAATTTCAAAACACTGTCTTTTCCTTATTTGAGTATGTACCAGGCACTGTGATAATCATTACAGTATATGATTTTTGCTCTGGAAATTCTGTACACAAGTGAGATGAATGAATTTCCCGCCTTTTCCCTCCCTTAATTTTTATATTGTGTGAGGCACTTTAAAAAAAAAATCATAGGGGCCAGGGAGATGGCTCAGTAGAATAAACGCTTGCCTGGCAAGCACAGGAGTCTGAGTTCAATCCCCGGTTCTGGAAAAAAAAAAAAAAAAATCATAGTACTGGGAATTGAACCCAGAGTTTCAAACAGGATAGGCAAGCACTCTACCCCCGACCTACATCCCCCACCCCTTTTTATTGTCTGAGACTTGGTCTCAGTAAGTTGTCCATGCTGATCTCAGAGTTGTAATACTCTCTGGGCCTCCCAGGTAGCCAGGATACAAGCAAGTGCCCCTGTGCTCCATTTGTGTTAGGCTCTTAGGGTTAAAGTGTTACATGGAATCGTATGGCCGTAAAGGGGAAGGAATAAAATGTGAGGTCATCAGCATTAACTATCTCATTGCTCTCCTGAAACTGATTCAGTACGCTCTACCTGTTCCTCAGCTCTCAGGAAGCCCAATAGTATGCACATGAGGCCAGTGTTGATTTTTTTTTTAATTTTATTTATTTATTTATTTATTTGTGTGTGTGTGTGTGTGTGTGTCCAGCTCAGCCCACCATGGGGCGGGGCTGGCTGGCATGTAGTGCTGGGGGATTGAACCGCGGTCCCTGTGCTTTTGCTAAGCTTGTTCTAAGTAGTTGCTTTAGACTACTGAGCCATCTCACCAGCCCCTGCCAGTGTTGATTTTGTTGAGCAGTAACTCCATGTGGAAAGACTGTTGAGTGAAAGGGTAAATCACAGAGCAAACCTCTTAAGTTTTTCTCAGTAGCATTTATTCTCTGTAGACTATATTAATTCATTTGTAACTACGTGGGCTCATGTTTTCCAGGAAGGAATGCAGCTCATTTCAGAAAAACCAGAGACGGAAGCTGTGGTGAAAGAAAAACTCACTGGTCTACATAAAATGTGGGAAGTCCTTGAGTCCACCACCCAGACCAAGGCCCAGAGGCTCTTCGACGCAAATAAGGCTGAACTCTTCACCCAGAGCTGTGCGGATCTAGACAAGTGGCTACACGGCCTAGAGAGTCAGATTCAGTCTGATGACTATGGCAAAGACCTTACCAGTGTCAACATCCTGCTGAAGAAGCAACAGGCAAGTGGGCCACTCAGCGCCAGGCAGCATGTCTTCATTGGCCTTACTCGCTTTGCCCTATATAGGGAGGCACTGCAGTGCCCAGCGAGGTGCTCACTCTAATGGCGTCATGGGCTGTTTCCAGGGTCAGCTGAAGAGCCAATATTTGTGCAAGCGTTGGGTGCCCATGTACGGCAGTAGTTTTTCTTACTGTCTTCTTAGGTGATGGGTGTTATAACCATTAATTAGTTGAGTACATATTTATTTCATATAGTTCTGCACTTTATGTGAATAAGAGTAATCACGTTTGCTTTTTTGGCTGTATAATGTCTAGCTAGGTGACATAATATGGATTGTTCATGACACTTTATAGGTAATAAAAGTCTGAGGTTTTTTATATCACAACAAAGAGCTCTAAGGGCAAATGAATTTCCCTTGAATGTATGAGAAGAAGAGTTCTGCTGAGAAAGCCAGCCCGTGGAGCCCCTCTGCTGGGCTTCGTGGCCTGTAGCTGAGGCCAGGGCCAGCGTCAGCTAGAGAAAGCCAGCCCGTGGCGGAGTGCTCCGGGAGCCCCTCTGCTGAGCTTCGTGGCCTGTAGCCAAGGCCAAGGCCAGCGTCCAGCTGGAACCAGTTGTTAAGGGTGGGCTTGGTCACATGCGAAGGCTGATTTTCATCCAAAGTGACACCATTCCTTTTGCTGCATGATTTGGCATCTCTTCAGGTTTGGGGCACTAAGGAATTTTTTTCACAAGGGATTTTTAGTCCTACTCATTTACTTCCAAGAAGAGGGAGTCAGTTTGTTACCAGATGCAGATCCCTGTATCCCCATGCTGAGCAGTATATGGTCTTCCCAGTGTGAAAATTTCTAGCAAGATACCTCTGCTTTCACTGTTGCTCATTTTCTTCCTATAAATGAAGAATTAGTTTGTATTCCACTTCATTATCCAGTGTGACCAGTTTGCTTTCTCATTAAAGGAAGGGCAGAGACATTTTCTTGCTTAAAAGAATGAACTCTGAGTAACTCCTTTCTTTGGTGAAACTGGCTTCTAGAAAAGTAAACAATGACTCTTTCATAATTAGTTCCTGTGTTCCAGTTTTGCTTTTTGTTTTGTTGTGTATTTGGTACAGGGTCTCACTGCACAGCTCAGACTTATAGTGAGCCTCCTGTTTTCAGCCTACCTAGCGCTGGGATTATAGGCATGCACCACCATGCCCGGTCTTGATGGCCAGCTCAGCCTGCCTGGGGGGAAGAGCCAGCAAGGCACATGGTGCTGGGGATCGAACCCTGGTGTGTGCTTGCCTAAGCATGTGCTTAGTCAGCTGAGCTATCTCCCCAGTCCTCCCAGTTTTTTTCTTTCCTAAAGTTTTTGGGTTATTTTGAATATCACTACATGCTTTAAAATCTTTGAAAGGAGTGTTTTAAACATTAACTGACAAACTAGATTACTGATACTGTGACCAATATTAGAACCTTCCTTGGCTCGGCACTGTTAAGTTCATATTCTTCAATATTCCATTTTTCCCAATGCACAGAACATTTCACATTACTGTTCGTTCATAGCTGCTCTGTCTCTCATCCTCAGATGCTGGAGAACCAGATGGAGGTGCGGAAGAAGGAGATAGAGGAGCTCCAGAGCCAAGCGCAGGCGCTGAGTCAGGAGGGGAAGAGCACCGATGAGGTGGACAGCAAGCGCCTCACGGTGCAGACCAAGTTCATGGAGCTCCTGGAGCCCCTGAGCGAAAGGAAGCATAATCTGCTGGCTTCCAAAGAGATCCATCAGTTCAACAGGGATGTGGAGGATGAGATTGTGAGTGGACTCTGCACAAGTGGCTTTTCCACAATAAACTTGGCCTTATCCCAAGCCCATGTGCTCGCTTCTCTGTCATTGGGCCACATTGGTGCGCTGAGCTCTTACAGCCCACACTAAGCATGTTTATGGTATTTTCACCTCATCCACAAAATGCAACTCCAGTGTCCTCTGGTTTTCTAAAGAAACTCCAGGTTTTAATACCCCTAGAGCAGTGCTTTTAAAAGCAACCACAAATATTCCTAATGAGTCTGACACTGAGGGTGAAACAAAGTTTGAAGACTCTCACCATACATCTGAAGAGAAGTGCAGGTTAACTTGAATCCTCTTAACTGGGATATGGCTATACTTCCTCTCTAAAACTGGCCCCCCACCTGCTGTTCTAGTTTCTGTCATGTATTTGTTGTTCTGTTATGTCCTGACCACTTATTTACATTATTTGCAGTTGTGGGTTGGTGAAAGAATGCCTTTGGCAACTTCCACAGATCATGGCCACAATCTCCAGACTGTACAGTTGCTAATAAAGAAAAATCAGGTAAGTGTTTCTGCTGCTGTGGCTAGCTCAGCTTAACAGATAGTTGTTCTCAATCACAAGCACAAAAAGGGAGAGCGTTTTGAGACTTGTGGTTTCATCTTTAATCTAGCAAGCAGGTCATGGCCATTTAGCAAGATGTTGTGTCTGTTTTCTACACCAACACAGACCCTCCAGAAAGAAATCCAGGGCCACCAGCCTCGCATCGATGACATTTTTGAGAGGAGCCAGAACATTGTGACTGACAGCAGCAGCCTCAACGCTGAGGCCATTCGACAGAGGCTCACCGACCTGAAGCAGCTGTGGGGCCTCCTGATCGAGGAGACGGAGAAGCGTCACAGGCGGCTTGAGGAGGCCCACAAGGCCCAGCAGTACTACTTTGATGCAGCTGAGGCTGAGGCATGGATGAGTGAGCAGGAGCTGTACATGATGTCTGAAGAGAAGGCCAAGGTGAGAGAGTCCCTTCCCTTCATGAGAGTGTGTTGCAGAAAAGCCTCAGACTCTGTCTCTGACTCTGAGCTTGTTTTTTGTGAGACCTTTCACCTACTGCCTTTGACCATGCAAGGACCATTATAGTGCACAAAGCTGTCTAAATTTGGGCTGCTGTTTCCCCTTGGTAGATTTTCTTTCATAAAACCAGGCATGATAGCATATGCCTATAATCCCTGCACTCAGGAGGCTGAGGCAGGAAGATCTGAGTTTGAGGTCTGCCTGGGCTACACAGTAAACTCTGTTTCAAAAGAGTTTTTCTTGCCTGAATCGTCATTTGTCATTAAGATACTTCTATCCCTTTTTTTTTTTTTTTTTTTTTTTTTTAAAGCAATGGTTTGCTAGAGTCCTTTATGGAGTTACGTGTAACCTATACAACATACAAGATGGGTTTTGTGATCATTTGTAAGAAATGTTCTAGGATGCTGGGTGCTATACAGCACACAGACTTGAGTTCAGCCAGCCAGGACACACCTGCTCTGCCTGAGCTTTACTCGGTCTCTCACTGCATTGCCACATGTGCTTTGACCACAATCAGCTGAAGTCTAGTCCACGTTTTTATATTCTCATAAAGCTTCTGTATTCCTAGTCACTGTCACACTTCCAGGGTGGTTCTTTCTGATAATCATTCTTCCTGCCCCACTGGCTAGTCTGTCACTCCTCAAGGTGCTCCCTCAGGTCAGAGGGTCTGGTTCTGGTTATGACAGCCCCTCTCTTTTTAGGATGAGCAGAGTGCTGTCTCCATGTTGAAAAAGCACCAGATTTTGGAACAAGCTGTAGAGGACTATGCAGAGACAGTACACCAGCTCTCCAAAACTAGTCGGGCCCTTGTGGCTGACAGCCACCCTGAAAGGTGAGTGCCACATCAGAAGGGTGATACTAGGATGTTTCTCAGTGAAGATGTCTTACTAACCCTAAAAGAAAATAGTGGTAGATTTTTAGGAAGCTTTCTTTTTTTTTTTTTTTAGTACCAGGGATTGAACTCAGGACCCTGCTCTTGCCAGGCAAGCACTTACTCTATTGAGCTATCTCCCCCGCCCCCTAGGAAGCATTTTTAAAACAGACTCAATAGCTAATGGTGGCAGTACAGGGTTTCTGGGTAAATCCTGAGGGGATTTGACTAACCTTGTCAGATACAAAAGTTACATTTCTTGTTATATAGGTCTTGCTTTATCTTGGTCTTATAACCATCCAGCAGAAAAGTATAAAAACGAGGTATAAAAAGTAAAGCCATATTAATATGCTGAGCTGTAAAAGGCTCAAGTCAGCAACTTCCGACATTGCCAGTCTTATGGAAAACCTACTACTAGTATGGACTACTGGACTATATTGGAATATTTTGCTGAATTCACACACCTACAATATTTAAATGGCAATGGAATACCCATCTCTGACAAAACTAGCTAAAAAGGGGATATAAATGAAGGACAATTTTGTAGTGAAATATATGTGTGTGTGTGTGTGTGTGTGTGTGTGTATACATACACACATATATGTATATTATATATGTATCATAATATATATCTTGTACTATGAATACTACGAAGACAATATGCAATGTATTAATTACTGTAACTGTCCTACTAACCTGTTTTGAAACTGTCTCATTGCTATTTGTTTCTCAATAAAATTAATTTAAAAAAACAAAATAGCGTATGATGGATAGGAAGGGGTGAACCATTAGATTTGGAAATTGTTCTTATGGGTTAAGTATCTCTTGTTGGCCGAGGCTTTATTGAAAGACTGTTGGTGTCATGAGTCAGAGTAATAGTTATAGACATGGTGATACCTGTCACCTGGTACTTGGTGAAGTGTGGCAGGAGGATTGCAAGCTTGAGGCCAGCTTGATGGTACAGTAAGTTCAGGGATGGTCTGTACTACATAGGGAGACCCTGCCTCTCGAAACAAAGATTGAAGGTACCAATTGATGTACAGATACAAGGAATCAGAGTACTTATGCTGAGTTGAAAAAGTCTCCCATTTGGGACAGTAGTTACTAACTTGAAGAGTAGTAGACCAGAATAGATGGACCTGTAAAATAGAAGGCTCCAAGAAAGAATAAAATGCTAGTGCCTCCTAACTCTTGGTACTCCCTAACTGTATAGTAAGTTTCTGTTAACTTCAAGAGCAGTCACTCCATGCTTTCTCTGCATCTTTCTGTCATCTTAGAAAGGAACAGTATTGGGCTGGTGAGATGGCTCAGTGGTCTAAAGCACCTACTTACAACAAGCTTAGCAAAGCACAGGGACTGCGGTTCAATCCCCCAGCACCACATGCCAGCCAGCCCCGCCCCCTGGTGGGCTGAGCTGGCCACACACATACACACACACACACATAAAAAAAAAAAATTAAAAAAAAAAAAAAAAAAAAGAAAGAAAGGAACAGTATTGACTGTATGCATTCAGTCAAGGTGGGTTAGGAAAGGTTAGGTGTCTGTAGCAGAGTTTAAGTTCGTAATGTGCTGCTGATCATGTTCCCAAAAGGTAGCCCTACTAGTCTGCAGGGAGAGGCCCTACTAGTCCTTGTCTCTGGTCCCCTGTTACGAGACCTCCTTGAGGAAAATTGATACAATAAACTCTTACTATCTCCATCTCTTTTATTTTTCCCCTTGAAGAAAGTTGAAATGTAAAGCCTCTTTCTCTCCACTGCTCCCTCTCTTAGTGAGCGCATCAGCATGCGGCAGTCCAAAGTGGATAAGCTATATGCTGGCCTGAAGGACCTTGCTGAAGAGAGGAGAGGCAAGCTGGATGAGAGGCACAGGTTGTTCCAGCTTAATCGTGAGGTGGACGACCTGGAGCAGTGGATCGCCGAGAGGGAGGTGGTCGCAGGGTCCCACGAGCTGGGGCAGGACTATGAGCATGTCACGGCAAGTACTTTGGGCAGAGCATGAGAGATTTTTCAGTGAATCGTGGTATTGAAAGCCATTTGCATTCTTCATTTCTGAGTAGATAAAATGCCCTGATTCAAATTAGAGGTCACTTTCAGCATGCTTTTTCAGTGGGTGATCTCAACTTGGGTTGGTTGCCCTGTGTGCACTTCCCCATAGAGATGGAGGCAGTGCTCTACTCTGCTGTACAAGTCAGGAAGAGATCCAGTTAGATGCTTTGGAGCTGAGTTCTGTTGTTCTTAGACCATGTATATTACTTGCTGCCTCCTGGTTTGACGCAGTTTCTTTACAAATGACTTTCATGTGATCACTAAGTAAAATGTTCACAAAGGTCTCACTGATTTCTTTATACCCATCCCAATTTCAGATGTTGCAAGAACGCTTTCGGGAATTTGCTCGAGACACAGGGAACATTGGGCAGGAGCGTGTGGACACAGTCAATCACATGGCAGACGAACTCATCAACTCTGGACATTCAGATGCCGCCACCATCGCTGAGTGGAAGGATGGCCTCAATGAAGCCTGGGCTGACCTGCTGGAGCTCATTGACACGAGAACACAGATTCTCGCTGCTTCCTATGAACTGCATAAGTTTTACCATGATGCCAAGGAAATCTTTGGGCGTATCCAGGACAAACACAAGAAACTCCCTGAAGAGCTTGGGAGAGATCAAAACACAGTGGAGACCTTACAGCGAATGCATACCACCTTTGAGCATGACATCCAGGCTCTGGGCACTCAGGTAGGTGGTGAGCTCCCTGAGGGCAGTATCGTTGTTGCTATCATTGTGCCCCTCTGAGATCTCTATTCCTTGACTTCTCAAAATATGCCCTAAAGGTTTGCTCAGATTAAACATACTTGTACACTCATACTCTGTTACAGTGTGCTGTTTGAGAGAGCTGCTCAGCCCATTAAAGTTCTTAAGCTTGCCATTTTTTTTTTTTTAAATGTATTTGGTACAGGGTCTCACTACGCAGCTTGGACTCATTGTGATCCTCCTGTTTTCAGCCTCCCTAATGCTAGAATTACAGGCATGCACCACCATGCCTAGTCTTTTTTTTTTTTTTTTTTTTTAATTCATTCATTCATTCATTCATTTATTTTGCGGAACCGGGGATTGAACTCAGGCCCTTGCTCTTCCAGGGAAGCACTTATTCCACTGAGCCATCTCCCCGGCCCCCATGCCTAGTCTTGGTAGCTGGCCCAATGCGCCCTGGACCAGGGCTGGTGTGTCATGTGCTGCCAGATCGAACCCTGGTCCTTGGGCTTGCCTAAGCAGGTGCTTAGTCCACTGAGCTATCTTGCTGGCTCTAAATTTGCCGTATTTTTGGACATTGTTAGATGAATATGCCCATGATTAAAACAGATAAGTAAATCATGTGTGCACACAAACATTTGCAAGTTACAAGACTTAGTATAAGTTTGTATTGTCATTATATCCTTCCATAATAACTTCCAAAACAATGCCTTATTATTTTCACCAGCTATCCCAAAAGAGAAAAAAAAAAGGATTCTTGTATTTTAAGGGTGGGGTTTTTTTTGGGGGGGGGGATTGTTGTTGGTAGCACAGATTGAACTCAGGACCTTGCGGTTGCCAGGCAGGCACTTCATCTGCTGAACTATCTTCCCAGCCCAGACACTTAAATTGTAATATGCCTGGTCTTTTTTCCCCAGTATAAAGTGGCTACCACTAAGGTTTTGTTTAAAAGGCATTTAACAAAGTAGTAATACCACAGTAAAAATTCAGTGTAATTATTTTCTAGTTATCTTTCTAATTTCTGCAGTTTCCTGTTTCATCTTTTACCTTTTAGTTGAAAAGCAAATTATATTTTTTTCCCTGAATTTCATGGTCCTAGAGAAGCCAGTTTGATTAAAGATGTTCAGTCCTGCTGTTCCAGTTTTTTCTGGTCTAGTAAGAACTTGTTGACTAGTGTGAGGATTGGCATGTGTTACCTATTAAAAGGCCAGGTAGTAAATATTTTGTGGGCCACGAGCTATATTGTAGCTCTGCCATCTTAATAGCCACAGGACACTGAAATGAGGGCTGTGTTCTGTGAGTCTTTATTTAGAAAAACAGCCCAGATTTGGCCCAGAAAGACTCATTTGAGTGCCTCAGCCTCTATTTTTACATGAATGAGCAGCTAAAGTACTTAGGTTTCTTTGGACTGTATCTGGGTATGTCCATCCATACCATCTCTCCCCGTGAGTGCTAGTAGGATCACAGCAATGTGCCACTGTGCCCAACCATTCATACCATTTTGTATCTCAAGGCCTAGCTCTGGGTGACCCTTCCTCAGCTCAGTTGCTCATGTCTTCCTATAAAATTTCCTCTGTTATGTGTGGAGAACTTAGCAATGTAGTTTAATGGGAAAAGTTGAGTTTCTATGGCTTGGATGTGTAGTAAAATTGAACATTCTCAAGGGGCACAGGACCTGTTTTGATCTAGTGTTCCCTTTAGTTTGTAAGTGGCGTGGTGGAGGAAGGGGGTGATAAAAGTAGGCTGTAGTGGTGGATCTTGACTCACATTCCCCATGGCTTCACAGGTGAGGCAGCTACAGGAGGATGCAGCCCGCCTCCAGGCAGCCTATGCAGGAGACAAGGCTGATGACATCCAGAAGCGGGAGAATGAGGTCCTGGAAGCCTGGAAGTCCCTGCTAGATTCCTGTGAGGGCCGCAGGGTGCGGCTGGTGGACACAGGAGATAAGTTCCGCTTCTTCAGCATGGTTCGTGACCTCATGCTCTGGATGGAAGATGTCATTCGGCAGATTGAAGCCCAGGAAAAGCCAAGGTAAAGCTCCTTGGCTCTGGGGTTCTGTTTGTTTGAAGGTAGCCTCTACTGCTTAAATTGCGTCCTGCAAAGCAATGCCAAGAAGAAAGGGCTGTGGAGGTACCAGTACCTCCTAGGTTCTCCTCTTGTGTTCCTCATTTCCATGCGCTTCCTGCCAATGTCTGTGGACCAAAAGCTTCAACCACCAGTGTACTTAGGGTGCAGCTGCCTCATCTTTTGAATGACATGGCTTTTCTGAGTTCTTTTCCTGTGTGTCTTTATTGGTTTAAAAGCCACTCTTTTTTATACACATTACAGAAGATGTCACTTACTATGAACATCTATTTTAATGGTGGGGGTGATTATTCAGTATTTATTCCCTGTGTTGTATTTGACTTTCACACCAAGTAGTGAGAAATTAACTGATGAGCAAGCAGACCCAGGTCTACCCAGCCAGCTCCTGACTGTGCCATAAGTGCAAAATGAACTGTTCCATGATAGAGGAAATACCTTTTGTCATTATATTATATTTAGAAAGCAGCTTTAGGGGCTGGTGAGATGGCTCAGTGGAATAAGTGCTTCCCTGGCAAGCGCAAGGGCCTGAGTTCAATCCCCGGTTCTGGCAAAAAAAAAAAAAAAAAAAAGCAGCTTAGTCCCCCTAGGCCAGCATCAGTAGATTTTTGTCCACGAGTAGCTCCCAGACAAACCAGTGTGTGTTTCTTGAGCTGGTTGCCTTTTTGTGTATCTCTTTCTTCACGTCTGAGTACAGAGACACTGCTGCTCTTTGGGAATACTTGTTCTCAGCTAGTAGCAGCTCATGGCTTGGAGTGTTACTGCATCTGTACCAACTTAAAGTGAGTCTTTTTTAATTGAACTTGAAGGTAAAAATTTGAACAGAATTCCAGCGACTTTCGTGAATATGCCTAGCAAACAGTTTAAGTTACTTGAGCACACATGCAAAAATAAAAGGAGCCTTTCTTAGGAATATCTGCTTTTAGAGCTGGTCTTAAGTTATGTTGTCATTGTTCCTCAGCCCCAGTGACTCAAACTGATCTTTGCATAGAAATCAGCCCTGAAAGGCTAATTGTGCCACCAGATTGTTTCCTTCGAGTCAGTTATGTGTTTTGAAATCTCCACATTTATTTGAAAAGCTTGATTTCCTAAAGATGTTTTGGTTTAATTTTAGGGATGTATCATCTGTAGAGCTATTAATGAATAATCATCAAGGTATCAAAGCTGAAATTGATGCCCGTAATGACAGTTTCACAACTTGCATTGAGCTTGGGAAGTCCCTGCTGGCAAGAAAACACTACGCATCTGAGGAGGTAGGATGCTGCTTTACTTTGGGGCCATGGGACAGATGCCCTGGTGGTAAAATGCAAAATGACTTTGTCCTGCATATGTGTATGCACACACAGAGAAATATGGAAAGCTGTCCTTCATTATCCACAGGGGATACTTCAAGATCCCCAGGAATACCAAAATCCATGCCACAGCAATAAATATGAATTATACATATCCTCAGATGTGATGTATATCATCTCTAGATACATACCCTTAATCTGCATACTTAGATACTTCTTTAAATCATTTATTTATTTATTTGGTGCAGAGTCTCACTACACAGCTTGGACTAATAGTGATCCTCCTGTCTCGGCCTCTTGGTGCTGGGATTACAGGCGTGTGCCACTACTCCCACAGTTTTGGTGACTGGCACAGCGTGCCCAGAGTTCGCGGGCCAGCACAGCATGCAGTATTGGGGATTGAACCCCAGTCCTTGAGCTTGGCAAGCAGGCATTTAGACCACTGAGCTATCTCCCCAGTCCTTACATATATTTCAAAGCTTGCTTCATTCCTGCCTGCCTAGACTAAACACTTATGTAAGACTCTAGACTCAGCGTCAGTGACTCCATGGCACAAAAGACAAATAGGGGCCAGGTTGAGAAATGGTCTCACTTACCTTCTCTAGTACTCATCTAGCTGACACCCTTTTCTGATGTCGTTTTGCCCTAGTCATTTTCAGTTGAATGATTTTGTATTCTGGTTAGGATGTAAATGCTAAATTCACTGTATACTTCCTTAATGGAAATGGATGACTTCTTGGAGAGACCAGGGCTATGCCCCTCTTGCTCTCCTTCTGCTGCAACTGTATTTGCTGCCGAAAGCCCCTCTGTCTGGTGCAGCCTTGATCTCCTTACAAAACGGCTTTCTCGTTTCTCGCTCAGGATAGACTAGGCAGGTATTTCCTAATAGTACTCATTGCAGAAAAACAATTTTTCTTGTATGAAGTTGACCCATCAGAGGAAAACAAAGTGGATATAGTACATTCTATTAAGATGTCCCTGCGGTCCTTTCTTTCATGCAGATCAAGGAAAAGTTACTGCAGTTGACCGAAAAGAGAAAAGAAATGATTGACAAGTGGGAAGACCGATGGGAGTGGTTGAGACTGAGTAAGGACATAACTTATTTGTCTTTCTGCTCTTTTAGGTGTCCACAGAAAGCATGAAAGCCTATTTTCCTGTCTAACTAATCTTATTATTTAATGACTTTTGGAGCAATGGATGCTTCTTTTGGTAGTGACCTATTTCATGCCAGATACTATTTTTACAGAAGTTGTATGTGGAATATTCATTATTTTTCACTTATGATTGGTCTCAGGGTTGTGAATAGGATTTAGATTTTCTTAAGGAGAACATGGAAATGACTTAAGCATCTTTCTGGAGAGTACAGAAAAAAGCCCATTGTTTTCAAGAAGAATTTTTTGTTTCACAATCAAAAAGGTTGAAAGTTTACCTCAGTGTCAGATCACGTTTGGTGATCTTAATGGAATGTTGATAACCAAAAAAAGCTGAAGTCTGCTAGTGAACTAGGCATTGTTCTAGGAATTTTAAAACATATTCCTCAATTTATGTCTTACAATGATGCTGTGAGGTGATGATGCATGTTTGATTATAATAGTATAAATGTTCAAATGATGTATAAAGTTTTATGAATGTGAGACTGCTTTTGAAAATTGCTTGTAATTTCTAGTGTTCAAATTTATTAAATTTGAAGTATTTCACTCTGAGTGAAATAATTTTGCATTGCAAAATGTTTTAGGATGAACTTTGTTATAGTTTTAATCCCAATAGAATAAAGTTCATCAGTTTAACTGAAAAAAAAAAATGATGCTGTGAGGTAAACTCTTATTTATCCTGATTTTAGAAGCGATGTATGAGTCACCACAGGGTTGGTAATGTAGGGTTGATAGTATTGGGAGTGGCAGCTCATAATTGGAATAAACACCGAAAGTGGCCTAATTCAAGCATTACTAACCATACTTTTAACTGCCGTTTTGGATCCCAATAGTGGGTTAAAAATCTTATTAAAATTAATCTCATCTGTTTTTATTCTGCCTAACATTGGTGCTGCAAAGTTAAAGCTGCGTTTGTGGCTCGTGTTGGGCTTGACTGGACAGCACTGAGACATGAGGAGACTGTAAATGTCTTGTGCATGTAGCTGTCACCAGAGGGCGGCAGTACCAGGGGGCCTGCGGCCTGCACTCACTCGTTCTTGGTGCCCTGTGCAGTTTTGGAGGTCCATCAGTTCTCAAGGGATGCCAGCGTGGCCGAGGCCTGGCTGCTTGGACAGGAGCCCTACCTATCCAGCCGGGAAATCGGCCAAAGTGTGGACGAGGTGGAGAAGCTCATCAAGCGCCACGAGGCATTTGAAAAGTCTGCAGCAACCTGGGATGAGAGGTTCTCCGCCCTAGAAAGGCTGACAACAGTAAGTAGCCACTGTTTGTGAAGATCTCTTGACACTGTTGACTCTTGGAACAGGATGTATGAAGGGGTTCAGGCCAGTACTTTCTCAGTCATCACCTAAGCACTTAGATTTAGGGTCACTCTTAGTGGCCTCTTGCTTAGGAACTTATTGGTGATGCTTTTCTCTTTTCATTTGATTTTTCTCCAATATCTCAGAATCTTTGGTTTACAGGGGACATAGCCTTAAATTTGCCTTCAAAATTTCATGATTAGAAGCCATATCAAATGGGTTTTGGGGTTTTTTGCGTTGAACTTAGGAGCTTCCGCTTGTAAGGCAGATGCTTGTGCGCTGAGCTATATCCCTGGCCCTGCAGATAGTATGTTAGTCCTGAGCTGCCGTAAACCCTGCCTGCTCCCAACCCTATCTTTTGCTAGCATAAAGGACTTAAGCAGGGCTTGTACATTGGTGCCGTTTCTTTTCCCCAGACAGTTGTCCTCCTGGTAGAAATGGGCTCTTTGCAATGTATAAAAGTACTTTTCTTTATAGTTTCTACAGTTCTGGGAAGTTAAAAATGTATCTTGGTACTTTTATGTTAAAACAGAATACTTTTTGATGTCTGCATTTTGCTCATAAAATGGGTAATTGTATTTTTTTTTAATTTTATTTATTTATTTGTGTGTGTGTGTGTGTGTGTGTGTGTGTGGCCAGCTCAGACCACCAGGAGGCGGGGCTGGCTGGCATGTGGTGCTGGGGGATTGAACCACGGTCCCTGTGCTTTGCCAAGCTTGTTCTATGTAGTTGCTTTAGACCACTGAGCCATCTCACCAGCCCCGGGTAATTGTATTTGTATTTCATAGAGTGGCTTTTTTATGTTATTGGAGTATGAGCTAAACAGTGTTGGCTTCAAAATTTTTGCAGTTCTATCTTTGTGTTTATCTGAATTTTGAGGTTTTGTTGTGTTTGCCTTTTTTTTAATTAGACCATGTTAGTAATACAGAATAAGGGTCATTTTGGAAAATTGGTATGCACATTTAACATTGCTTGATCATTTTTAGTTAACGGAATTGAAAGTTTACCTGAGCTCTCGCAGAAAGTCCAATTTAGATACTTCTGCCCCTGGGCTCAGACCTTGTCCTCCTCAGCAAAGAGGAGATTCATGCAGTGTGTCCAGAAGTTAAACCCTTGCTCCCAGGGAGCACACACACAGCTCACAGGCACTCTGCCAGCTCATGATACAGCCCTCTTGCTGCAGTTTAGAATGTGACTGCATTTCCTTGGACAGATTACCTTTTTGTCACGATGTTAGAACTTCCTTCAGGTTGTCCATTAAATGCTAGTACAGAAAACTAGACCGAAGGCCTTCTTGGTTCTCTGACTGCTTTCTTTAAAAGCAGCAAGGTCTAGGCCTCTGCTGAATGTCATTGTGTTCTCCCTTAGTTGGAGTTACTGGAAGTGCGCAGACAGCAAGAGGAAGAGGAAAGGAAAAGGCGGCCACCTTCTCCTGAGCCGAGCACGAAGGTTTCAGAGGAAACAGAGTCCCAGCAGCAGTGGTGAGTCCTGGGCAGTGTAGGAGGCTGGGTCTCAGCTTGGATGACAGCTGAGCTCTGTGGAGCATGTTTTTCAAAGCCCTGCTTTGCAAGGCCTTGCCAACACGCCTCTTTCTATTATGTCATGGGACTGACTGCCAAGAGTCCTTATAAGCACCCTGAGGACACTGACTAATCCACAGTCTATTAACTATGGAGCTTGCAGAAGTGTATCATATACTGTGCCCTTCCTACTGAATGAACACCTATGCCTGCAGATAGCACACACTAGCACATACACATACATAATTCCCATGTCATTCAGTAGCTAGAGTGAGCAACATGGATGCTTTGAAATTTCTGGATGACTTTGCATAAAGGGCAAGAACTGTTCTCTGGTTGCAGGGGCTAATTATTTTGTTGTGGCACAAGTTCCACAAAAATTTCTAATGCCACCTTTATTTGGTGGGTCTGGGGGTTGGGGTATTGGTATAGCCTATTTGGAGTCTTAGAAACACTTCAGAGTTCCAAGCTTTATAAAAATTCCATCACATGAAAGAGGATGGCTTACACTTTTCTCTTTCTTCTCTTCCCTTCCTTCCTCTTCCCTGTTCTGTCCTTTTTGTTTTTTCTCTTTACCTAACAGGGATACTTCAAAAGGAGAACAAGTTTCCCAGAATGGTCTGCCAGCTGAACAAGGATCTCCACGGGTTAGTTACCGCTCTCAGACCTACCAAAACTACAAAAACTTTAATAGCAGACGGACAGCCAGTGACCATCCATGGTCTGGACTGTGAAGTTCACTACCATTTGTCAAGAGCTACTCTTTCAAAATCCTATTGGTTTTGACTCTGGCTTCCATATCACCAAAAATGTTAAAAATTTACATAATTCATACCTTTTCTTGGTTTCATATTTGTTTGCATTTAATTCATGTTTTTGTTTTGTTTTTGGCCTTAAAGCAGCATACTTGTTTTTTTATTTATTGTGAGCTTTTTACTTTATTAAGATTTTACAGTGAAACTCTTACTTGAGTAATTGAAAGTAAATGAGATTACAGCATAATGAAGAAGAAAACTAAAATCCTAACAGGTATGGTATCATGCTATGGATACTGTTATGTATAAATATTATTAACCTGCAGTAGTTTGCTAGTAACTAGGAAGACTGGCATAGAAGAAAGGAGATATTCAGTACTATGATTAAACTCTGTAGTCAGCTGAACATTCCATGAAGCGTGCATTCATTCATAGATGACAAAAGTAAAAGGAGGCTGGGTTTCTTTGCGAAGTTGTTTTAAGTACAGAATTGCAAACATTTTAAGACCCCGAGTCACTTACTGCTTTTTACAAACTAGCTCTTACCTTGTTCTGCCAAGTCCTGAGCTGAGTGCAGCAGTCTCGTGCTGCAGGTGCTGCCTCGTGGGAGTGAGCTGCCCACTGGGTGCTGCTGCTGCCGCTGCCACCACTGCCGCCTCTGTTCTGGTCGTGAGCCACACCGCCAGGACCTAGATGAGTGCGGTTCTCAGAGGGTTTTGGAGGTCTGCCTGCCAGACTGCCCGGCCTCTCCATTCAGTCACTGACTTTGGGTGTCAAACTGCTTTAATTTCTTAAACAAATGGAGCAAAAGCCATTTTGGTTCATCCTGATTACTTGAATTTGATGGCCCGTGCCTAGGAGCACCAGCATGCCTCCTGGCTGCAGAGGTCACTTTTGTATCTCTGTAGACAAAACTCTGTTGTACGTGTCAGATGAACCTCTTGATTCATTAATTTCTGGAGACTTTTTATGGAGTTCTTTATTAAGGAATCATGTGAGATGGTATGTAATTGGCTGCTAAGGGGGACTAAAAATGTTTTAACAGAAATCCTTTTCCTTAGGAATAATGAAGTGATTTCCTGGTACCGATCAAAACAAAATCCATATTACATCAAAGCCTTGTGAGACATTCACTTGCTTATTTGCCATATTTAGATGTCTTAGTGGAATCAGAAACCTGTTTTGATATGTGTTCTCCATGAGTTAAGTCTCATTTGTCTTTTCATTTCATGATGCATGTCTTTTTTTCTTTTGTCAGGATAACGTCGTGTAGCATCTTGTTTGTTTTTCCTTATCTCTATGTACATATCTATCTACTTGTGACTGTAGATGGATATATAGATAGATGCCAAGCTTCTTATGTTCTGGGGTACTGTGCATCGTTACTGGGTCTCTGCTTTAAAATACACCAAAATTCATTCCAGCAGGGAGAAAACTGCTGTTCCTTATTATAAGGGAACCCTGATGTGAGTTTCTGGCCCCAAATTGCATTACATATATCACCGATCTGTATGTATATATGTGATGTTTACATATATATGTTTGTGTGTTTAAATTTTATATTATCAGAATATCCAGTTTTAATGCTTTTTATATTGAGAAGACAAAAAACTAAGCACATGAGAAAGGAGTGCTCTCATGGCTATTTTTATCTAGACTTAAACTGTAGCTTGCCAGAACAGATTTTTCATTAACAATTGGATTATATTGGAAGAAGAAAAAGCCATTTCATTCTTTTGAGTGATAATGCAGAGACTCAAGTTAATGAACTTGAAAATAGTATTGCTTTCATGCACTTTGGAAACCAATCAGGTGTTTTCTGTGCTACTAGTTGTCATGTTGCATTCATGTTCACTCCTGATTTATGTATCTCAGATGTGCCTGGCCACTAAAGCACTCTGGACTAATTGCTGAAAGAAGCAACATGGGGCGGTAGGGAGGCGTGGGAGGGGTGTGTTCACATGTACCCACTGTTTGATCATAGCACTATGATTTGCTTTTGATGTTTGTCTGTAGTGGTGTGTTGTCTGTTGGCATGCTTAAAGCACAGGTCCATTAAAATTCATTTTATTCCTTTTATTTTCCTTGTTTTCTTGGTTAGTGATTCATTTGCATAAACATTAATTACCTTTGCATACTGGTTTGGGTTTCTGTTTCCTTCTAACTCTAAAGAAAAAATTTTTGCTGCAGAATTTACCTCAGAAGACTTCCCCAGCCTTCACCCACCTTGAAGTCTGACCAAGTATGATAAATTGTAACCTTTTTCAGATAAACGTCTGTCGGATCATGACGGTCACAAGCAGTTTTAAAGTCAAACCTGCAGCACTAAATTTTTTTTTAAGCTCGTTTCTGTACATACTAACCCCATGTCGCTCTGAACTCACACTTGGCTCAGGCCTTCCACACCAAACTTACACTCCCACTTTCCCAGGTTTCCAAGAATCTCACACTAGAAGAGATCTGTTAACTTGAAAACCCACTCACATCTTTTTGACATGGGGTTTGTTTTTTGGTTATTTCCCTTCCTGCACCTCTCCCTTAGACATGAAGGGGAAGCTGGGGAAGTGGTACACACCTGTAATCCCAGCTGCTCTGGAGGCTGCGGCAGAAAGATAGGGCTGTATAGCAAACCCCATTGGAGGTAGGAGAGGAGTGAAAACAGAGGACGACAGAGTTTAAAGAGCCTGTTACTCAGAAGCTTGTGTCTACAGGCTGACACAAAGCTGAGGTAATCACACATCCCATGTCTTCCTGTTCTAGTACACTTTCCACATTTCTATGAAAGTAAAAGATTATAATCAGAAACCACATTCAACCTCGTAGCCTGTAGTCCAACCCTAAACTCCATGTTGTGATAGACATCACGTAAACTTGTGATTCTTCTTTCCCATTTTTCTTCAGTCTTTTCCCAAAAGAACTAGTTCTATTGATATGAAAGATTGACCCAGTTGTTATTAGATAAGACCTGAGTGAGAGTTCCAGTTCCCAAGAGTTGACAGATTTGAGCATTCAAATGGTGGTGGTAACCCATCTAGTTAGCTCATCCTGTCAAGGTCGTTGCTGCTAATTTAATGTCAGTTTGATTCTGAGTAGCATTGATGGGGACATAGCTAATGAGTATGCCATTGACACCGCCATGTTTGTCCGTGTATGAGGGGTGCAGGTTGTCTGTAATCCACTAAAGTGTCAGCCACACCCAGCTTTAGTAACTCGCTAATCCCACACCCTGGGTGTATCAGCCAGGGGTTGCTACAGTTAATGGTACACAGGTGATGGTACACAGGTTGAACTCAATAATGAATCAAGACCCTACTGCATTTCCAAAGCCGAAAAGCCATGAGGGTTACAATTTAATTGAGCTTGGGAAGAAACACTCCTGAAGACGTCTCCAGCCTGAAGGGTCAGAGCGGCTGGGAGCCTGGCTTTCTCTGGGCTTTCTCGTCTCAGTGCAGCGAGGCACCGTGATCAACCAACCCGTGATGGGGGAAGGCCCTGGTTCTGTCTTTGTTTGGGGGTAAATAGCTGTGTGGTGTTGAGTGACTGTGATTGGCTTTACCAGCTCCTTTTAACACAAACTACAGCCCACTCACGATACGACTTCGGCAGATGTGGTTAAAATGATGTTTGTTGACTTGCCTCATTTCCTTCCAGCTCCTAAGTTCCAAAGTCTAACTGGGATGGTAGATGTGAAATGCATGATTGTCGTCCTAATTTCTGCATGTTTTTATGATGATATGATGAGGGGAGGGGAGGAGGACAAGACAGCATTTTCAGAAGTTGAATGTCTTCCCTTGTCTTTCTTGGGGGAATGCTGTGTAGTTCTGATAGAGTTGTCTGTCCATCTGTTTGTGAATGCCCTTTCGCTTATACTTCCAGCCCTTCTGCTGGTACCCTTGGGTGTAAGGTGGCTGCTGTATAACGTCCACTCTCTCTCATATTTAATATGTGTGACTGTTACTGTTGTCTTTCTGTTTTAAAGTAACGGTAAGAGGAGATGACCTAATCTATGTTTTTAAAAAATGTATTGATCAGAGGAGTAGAGTGCAGTAAAACTCATAATGGCATTTCGCTTTTCTCTTTTCCCTGTAAGTGGGCGGGCATTAATCCATTCCCACCTTCTAATGTCCTCAGTGTCCAGCTGGCTTTGTGGGGTGTGCAATGGTTTTACTGTACTGCCTCGATCTGTGCCAGGCATTTATACACAGCCACTGTGCGAGTCAGCTAGAGCATATGTGGTCACTCCTATGGCTCATGGGGTTTGCTGAATGGCCTCTCTGCTATCCCTAGATGGCAGAAACAGCGGACACAAGCGAAATGGTCAACGGTGCTGCAGAGCAGAGGACAAGCTCAAAAGAGTCCAGCCCCATCCCCTCCCCAACCTCTGACCGAAAAGCGAAGACTGCCCTCCCAGCCCAGAGTGCTGCCACCCTGCCAGCCAGAACCCAGGAGACGCCTCCAGCCCAGATGGAAGGCTTCCTGAACCGGAAGCATGAATGGGAGGCCCACAACAAAAAAGCCTCAAGCAGGTGAGCAGAGGGAAGTCAGCCCATCCGAAGGCATGGTACTGCGCAGGCATCCAGAGAGCATGTGGGTCGGATCTGGGCTTTCCATTCTCAGGACAGTAGAAGTTGGGGGAAAAGTGCAGTTTATTCACTGAGAATGGATAGGAACAGCAAAAAGAGGCCTCAGTAGTTGATCTCTAGGAGTTTGCTAGATTGAGACTGAGGAATCTTTTTAAGTGAAAAGATTTCATAGTATACTCACGTAACTGTGTGACAGTTGATCGCATTGTGCCACTGTAGTCAGTACTCCTACATAATGAGACATATGAAGAATAACATAAGACAAGGAACTTTTGCTTGAGAGTTGGCATGTTTCAGATAAAGAGCCCACCTTATACCCATCATAGCAGAGAATCCTGAACACTAGTAAAAATCGAAAAGCTGAGTACCTTCATTTAATAGAATATGTCGCCAAATAGAAATGCAACCTTCAAAAGCCTGCCTCTGTAATAATGTGCCATATCCTGATAAGCTCTGGAGGAGTTCTTTACCACTGGTAGCAGAATTTGTGAAGAACTTGTAGCAAGGGGTGACAGGGGGTTTTCTGAATATCATTTTTAGGTCAGACTAGTAGAAATCCTGACATTCCTTTCTCTGCTGTTCTCAGGTCTTGGCACAATGTTTATTGTGTCATAAATAACCAAGAAATGGGTTTCTATAAAGATGCCAAGACCGCTGCTTCTGGAATCCCCTACCACAGTGAGGTTCCTGTGAGTTTGAAAGAAGCTGTCTGTGAAGTGGCTCTTGATTACAAAAAGAAAAAACACGTGTTCAAGCTAAGGTGAGAGATACTGTGCTTTTTGCTTGCCCCAAAGTAGGAGTATGTGTATTTTTACTCTAGGATTGGTTTTCTTCCCTGATACTGTGATCTGTTTTTTTCTGGCATTTTAAACCCACATAAGTGGAAGAGCTCGAGGGAAAAGGCACTTGTATGCATTTTGGAACTTGCTGCTCCCTGAACTTCAGGTGGCTATTCCTGTCACAGCTTAAAGAAAACAGAAAAGTCGTTTCCTGTCTTTTCAGCTTACCCAGACCTAGGAGTTCCTATTATTTGCTGTGAGGTATCTGGATGCGGATCAGTGAGTCATCTTGGAGAGGAATGGTGACTTAGCAGGAAGCAATGGGGTGGGGAGGGGCCCTGTGCCCCTGATCCCTGCCTGGAGCTCCAGATGTCCCCTCCCTGTCACACATACACCTCCCCACAGAAACATCCATGCTTAGAAGTTCTCCTGTTTGGAAATGGGCCGACAAACTTAGGTTTTGAAAATGTAAAAAGTGGGGCTGGAGAGATGGCTCAGTGGTCTAAAGCACCTACTTGAAACAAGTTTGGCAAAGTGCAGGGACCGCGGTTCGATCCCCCAGCACCACATGCCAGCCAGCCGTGCCCCCTGGTGGACTGAGCTGGCCACACACACACACACACACACACACACACACTAAATAAATGTAAAAAAAAAAAAGTGCTAAAGAAAATGTAAAAAGTAAACATTCTAATGATTGCTTACTTAGCTTTGTATTGGCTTGTGCTATTGCTCTGGGATCTGAGAGTCTTTGTCTTAGTTACGTGCATTCCATGCCAGTTGGATTAGGCCAAGGACTATGAGGGGGAAGAGTTGCATATGGTATAAATTATGATGCTTTGTTGGGGAGCAGTGAGGGCAGACTCTTTATAAGCCTTTACGATGCTTTATGTTCCATCATTCAGTAAACAGCCAAGACCCTGGCTGCCTTCCCTTATCTGCTTTCCAAAGCTGCATTGGAGAGTAAGGGTGTTGGCAAAGGGCTGTCCCATCTGCTCTCCCAGCATCCCTTCTTGCCTGGCAGCCTTGGAGTGCATGACTGAATCCAGGCACCACTGGTGTCACACTGATGGCCCCTAAGTGTGGTTTCTTTCTTTCATTCTGAGACATGTGTAAGAAGCAAAATGTAGGGAACCCTTTTTGCATGTTTACTCAAAGTCTGGAATTTGAAAATACAAGGGATATAAATGTAACAAAATTTTTAAAATATCCATTTTTTGAGGAATTTATGTGAATTCAGTTTAGACCGGTGACCAGGAATCCCAGGTGATCTTTGCCAGAACAAATCCAGGTGCTGTTATGTTTGGGACTTGGGTTTCCCCATCGAGTTAGAACACTAAGCTACTGGGTTATATGGTCAGGACCAGCTGAGTACTGGGACTTCTCGATGTCAAGGGGCTGAGCTGAGCCAGTGCAGGTCTGCAGGCACAGTTGGTGACAGGCGTGGATCTGCGGTTTGTGTTTCTCATGTAAATTGCGTGGCCTGCTTGTGTCCCACATAGACTATGGGAGTTGGGGAATGTTTATTTTCCTGAGACTAAATTGTAATTTACTTTGTTCCTGAAATTGCAGACTAAATGATGGCAACGAGTACCTCTTCCAAGCCAAAGATGATGTAAGTTGCCAAGTCTCATTTCTCCTAAATTCCTAGGTGGGTACACATGTATATGGGATGACAGGCTTTGTTCACAATGCAATTCATGTTTTTAAAGATCAG